GTGAGGTTGAAGCCGGTGGGATTTTTTTTATGTCGGTCGGCCAGCAATTTTTTCCCCTTCGAACTGTGACTTTTTATCGGACAAAGAAACATTTTTGAAAATTCACACAATGATTTAGAGTCGGTACAATGAATCGTCTTCTTTTTCTAATAATTTAATGAAACGTCGAAGCTCCCGCGCTTCGCGCGAGAGGGGGAAAACTGAATTCAGACACTTAGGGTTAAGAGTATAGAGAACGGTATACAACAAATCGTCTTCTTTCTATAATATTTTAATGAAACGTCTAAGCTTCCGCGCTTCGCGTGGGACGGGGAAACTGAATTCAGACAAGGATTAAGAGTCGAGAACGGTACAACAAATCGTCTTCTTTTCATAATAATTTAATGAAACGTCTAAGCTACCGCGCTTCGCGCGGGAGGCCTTTCACCCACCCCCTACCCCACCTAGGGAGCGCTTTGCGTGCTCTTTAAGTGATTCGCTTGCCCAATACCGCCCCTCCCTTAAATAAGATCCTACCTACGCGCGCGCCTGCATTAAAATATAAAGCTATGATGCTTACTAAGTTGACGAAATAATTTGTATATTTATGTCGTCGACGAAAATGACCATTTGCGCATAACAATTTAGCCTTTGGCCTCGGGTTTATAGGGTTACATTTGTAGATATTGGGACATTTAATTTTGTCGGTAATTGGTGGCTTGTTTTGTCGGTAATCGTTGGCCTCTATACCACCCCCCCCCCCCCCACTGAAAAAGGTCTAGCGACGCCCCTGACGACACATCAGGCCTATACTTGCGTTTTGTGAGAGGCTCAAGTATCCGGGCCAGCTATTTATAGTTGAGTAATTTTTGAAGAACAACAAAACGAGTACTCGCTCTCCAATCGTATTGGTTATTTGGGAATTTCGAATGTCTTCAAATATGTTTTTTTCCTTTTAACACAATGATTTTTTTGCGACTCAATTCAGGCCTGACTAGATATAATTTTTTTCGTAAGGCAACAGACAAGTAATTTAGTCATATACCTGATTAACACTTGAAGATTTCCTACACTAATGCCTGGCCGTGCGTAACCCATATTTGAACGCTAAGTTGCACCTGAAATTGCAACATGTGCATTACAAGCTCAAAATGCTTTCTTTCATACAAATACACCAACAACAAATCCCAAAAGCTTGAATGCATACTATTTCACAAGATGTAATTAAACAATACGAATGATATTAATGATACACTTACATGTACATGCAAATGCATGATCATTTTTGCGCTTCTTGCTCCCTGTCCCTTTCTCTCCTCTTTCCCTTTCACCTCCCTTCTCCTTCTTTCTCTCTCTCTCTCTCTCTCTCTCTCTCTCTCTCTCTTTGCTGAGGGGGGGGGGGGGTAGGGGTACAAATCGGGACAAATTGCAACTGATCTCCCCTACCTTTCTTCTTCCTCTTTCCCCCTCCCCTTTCCCTTCCCTTACTTCGCTCTCTCTCTCTCTCATTTAAGTTTGCTGAGGGAGGCAGGGGCCTTTCGCCCCCTCCCCCCGATCCACACGATGTTAGTGGGATTAATCGCAACTGATCTCTGCCTCTTTTCACCCTTTTCTTTTCTTCTTCCTCTTTTGTGTTCCATTTTGGCTCTCCTCTTTCCCTTTCCATTCTTTCTCTCTTTTTTTTTGGCGGGGAGGGGGTGGGGGTGGTCGGGGAGGGGGGGGGGGGCAGAGGGAAAGGCCTTTCTCCGCGATCCACATCTTGTTTGCAGGAAAATTGCAACTGATATCCCTTCTTTTCTTTTCTTCTTTTGTTTCTTTCCCTTTCCTTCCTTCTCTCTTGTTTTGCGGGGGGGGGGGGGGGGGAGGCAACAGCATGGGCGGCAAGGCCCTGTCGGACCCCTTTTTCTTTTCTTCTTCCTTTCCTCTTCTCTCTTCTTTCCCTTTCCCTTCTTTTCCTTCCTTCTCTCTCTCTCTCTCTCTTTTTGTTTGCTGAGGGGCCAGGGGAGGGCAGGCGAAGGCCTTTCGCCCCCGATCCACACCGCGTTGGTGGGAAAAATCACAATTGATCTCCGTACCTTTCTTTTTTTCCCCTTCCCCTTCTCTTCTTTTCTCTCTCTTTTAAGTTTGCTGTAGAAGGGGGGGGGGACAAGGGCCATTTGCCCCCCCCCCCAATCCCCAACTTGTTGGTGGGTAAAGTGCAACTGATATCTTCCTTCTTTTCTTTTCTTCCCTTTATCTCGTCTTTTCCCCTTTTTCTTTCCCTTCTCTTCCTTCTCTCTTTCTTTTTGCTGGGGGGGGGGGGGGGGGCAACAGCCTGGGAGGCAAAGCCCTTTCGCCCCCCCCCCGATCTTCTTCTTTCCCCTTTTTCTTCTTCTTCTTCCTTTCCCTTTGTCTCTTCTTTCCCTTTCCCTATTTTCCTTCCTTCTCTCTCTCTCTCTCTTTTGCTGAGGGGGGGGGGGGGGTGGCGAAGGCCTTTCGCCCCCGATCTCCTTTGTTCCCCCCTTTTCTTTTCTTCTTCCTCTTCTTCCTTTCCCTTACTCTCCGCTTTACCTTCTCCCTCTCTCTCTCTTCATTTTTTGTTGGCGGTTGGGGGTCAAGGCCCTCCCCCCCCCCTTGATCCGCGCCGAGAAGACCTGTAGTGTCATCCCTAGCTAGCTGGCAAAGCTGAATATGGGTTATCCAGTCGTTTCATATATTTATACTTGTATTGACTAGAGTACGGACATTCGGTGCGGCAGGCGGACTATTGGTGCGAGACCTCTTCCGCACAGATTGTCCGTCGGACATTTGAGGCGCGCACGGAATGTCCGACACGGACATTCTGCGCGGATAAAATCCGCACCGATCGTCCGCTCTCGATCGATCTCTAATAGGCGGACGATCGGTGCGGGTAACATTCTACGCGGTCACACCGGCACCAAAACAACGGAAATCATACTATCTGGTAAGATACCATGAATCAAAAATCCGGAAATGCACATTGCAAGCAAGGGCATGAGTTTCGGACTTGCACACTTTAAATGTTGAGCTGTTATAGTATCAAGACCACATGACTTATTGTCATCTAATTTTCTAATAGCTTCTTTAACCTCCTCAGGAGAGATAACCATATTTACATCAAAGTCAACATTAGTAACATCCTGCACCGTACTCTGTACACAATTAAACAACCTTATAATGGCTACACCACAATTCACTTATTTTTTCATCACCAGAGATACCTTCAATATTAGTTGGAAGAGGCGCTTTACTATTATTAACACATTTAATTTCTTTCCAAAATTCATAATAACTTTTACCCTGCAATTTACGAGCTCTGACACATGCTCATTCCAGCCAGGCCTAGTATTATGAACCTTGTTTTTACAGTGATATAGAGATTCACTAGCATCACATAAGCATTTCACAATATCATCATATGTATTACATACATAATTAACATGGTCATTGTTCACACAATTGGAATCTCGACATAAAAAAGCATCGTGTGCATGTACATTAATTCCCTCAAGCAATAAATCAGTATCACGGCAATAATTATTCCTACGATTTATATCAATCTTAGTAAGAGTGGTGCAAGATAATTTAATCAAATGTAGAGGCATTAAAAAAAAAATAGCCCTAACACTGCACTGTATGCAAATGGAGAATCCATTCCTGATGTTAATTTGGTTTTAATTAAGCACAAACATTAACATTTTTTAAATATTTTTAAAATCAATCATACTGGGGTTGTCTAGACCCCAGTAGATCAAAACATATTTATAATTATGTTTAGGGTGCATGTATGATTGAATTATTATTTTTTAAATATATTTTTTGGAAGTCATTTTAGTACTGTGTTTGATTGACCGCAACTTCAAAAAAAATCACAACTTTCTTATTTTTAACCAGAATTTGCTAATTAGTAAAACTTTCACATTTTTCTTCTTCTCTGGAAGCAACTTAACATCAGGGTGGACTTCCCAAGCTCTGCTTAATATGTAAGCCTCTTCGTGGGCCCCAATTTCAATATCAAACAATAATTCAACCAAAAACTTGGCATGTAACATAATTATATGAGCGCAAATAAAAAGAATTTTATTTAGAATAGGTCATTTAACTAATATGACATTATGATAGCTTTAAAATCAAATTTGAAAACTAGTTTTGCCCATTTCCTAGTTTCAGTAGGCCTACTGTGTGAAAAAGAGCTCCGATAAGCCTCTTTGATCGAGCCCCAATTTCAAATTCAAAGACATGTAGTTTTGGCATGCGACATAATATATGGTCGCAGATAAAACTATTTACCTTTTTATTCATACAGGTAAAGGTAATTTTAACTTGTCATACGATACTTTTAAAATCCTTCAATTTAAAAACTTATTTTGTCAATCAACGTGTATGTATCGGGCGGATGAAAGGTCCAGTGTGCCGGTTTAAGCCCCAGCTTCGATATTAAAGAGTAAGGCTCAGCTAAAATCTTTCAGCGTGTGACATCAACAAGAGTAAAGATCAGTTACTCAGCTTTATTTCATATTGGTCATCTTTAAAAAAAAAAAAATCATACAATAGTTTTAAAATCCTTCGAACTAAAACCAAATGTTGTCCATTTCCGAGTATACTCGCAGCGGATGAGTTTTTTTGTTTTGTTTTTCCCTTTCATTTTAATTCCTTTTGCGTTTGTTATTAAAATAAAAAAAGATAGGATTGGAGGGGGAGAGGAAAAGAGAGAGAAGCCTAACATTTGTTATACTGTTATCCACATTGTATGTTTAAAAAAGAGAGAAAAAAGAGAAAGAAGGAAATTAACATTAAAAATAAATTATAGTCAGTTCTTGATTGATTGCCATTACAAAAAAAAAAAAGCTGCCTCCTTGTGCCCCAATTTCAATATCACTTAGCAACATTCAGACAAATAGTTTGGGCATGTGAACTACTCAACTTGGTAGGTTTAATTTTTTTTAAAGCTAGTCCATTCTGAAATTCGCAATTCTTTTTTCCTTTTCGATTGGTCGTTTTGACGACACTATATAGCTAGCAAGTTTAGCAATAATTTGAATCTGCGATTTTCGGAAGTGTTCGGTAATAAACAAATATCTGATAAGAAAGTTCAAGTAAGTATAAAGTAGACCTCTTATTCAAGTTATTATACCCTTTGAATTAAATCTTTATAAATCTAATAATCGATATTTGTAAATTGTAAGTACATCCGTGTTACCGAAACGTCTGTGTAATACCGAAAGCGACTACCCAGTCGTTTAGACAGCTAGACTCGACTCTAGTCATCTCTCATACTCTCACCGGCAAGCTCTGGCGGAGTGCAGCCGATGTAAGAACGTACGTTCACACCGTGATGCTGCGATGCCAACATGCCAGCTCAGCTCAGGCCAAGCCACACACAGCAGCCAAGACCCTAGACCGAATTTTCCGTCTCTTTCGTTCGTTAGCCTCTTATTGGGGTAGGGTCGGCCGGCTCTCTCTTTAGAGACGGAAACCGTCTATACACATTCCCTTGATAACGCCACGGCCATTTCAGGTCGTAGCGTTTTGCCCCCAAAATCCCCCAAAATGTCATTTTACCTCGTCACTCGTGCATTTTATATTGTAAATTAGGCCTAGGCTATAATAAATCAGTTCCACTTACCAACTTGACTGAAATAATCAGTTTAATAGTCCCTTTTTAGGAATTTATGGGTCAAAATCGAAATCCATGTTGAAAAAGATTTTCAAAATGGATTTCGATTTTGACCCATAATTTCAAAATGGATTTCGATTTTGACCCATAAATTCCTAAAAAGGGACTATTAAACTGATTATTTCAGTCAAGTTGGTAAGTGGAACTGATTTATTATAGCCTAGGCCTAATTTACAATATAAAATGCACGAGGTAAAATGACATTTTGGGGGATTTTGGGGGCAAAACGCTACGACCTGAAATGGCCGTGGCGTTATCAAGGGAATGTGTATAGATTTCTAGACGGTTTCCGTCTCTAAAGAGAGAGCCGGCCGACCCTACCCCAATAAGAGGCTAACGAACGAAAGAGACGGAAAATTCGGTCTACCAAGACCCCGGCAGAGCGCCAACCGAGTAGACATGGTCGGGAATCTAACCATCAGATCTGGATCTGGATCTGGATGTGTACGATGCAGGGCCCTACTGGGCATAAACGCATCGGTTGAGAGAGAGGGCGCGGGGGTACTTAGCTTAGAAGGCTCTGTCAATGCTGACAATGGCCTTCCTGAATCATGTGCTGGTTGATGTGGAGATCTAGACCTACATCTGTTTTATAGTCTTCTGGGGCCCGTTCCTAGAAACCGTCATAAGTCTAACTTCACTTCTTGACTAGATCTATCCCATTGAAACGCATGTTAATTCTACAACACACGTTTCAATGGGATAGACCATTACTATTTAATCTTTTGTGATTGCGTTTGTGTTTGTTAATGTTCATTTACGTTTTACTGTCGATATAGGTCTTGAGTTTTAATATTATCACTCACTGTTTGAGTCGCATTAGGCCTAGATTAGGTCTAGTGTGTAGAGTCTATACTGTGTAGGCCTAGCTGTTTATGATATCGGATTAAAGCCTGAAGGTCTCAGACTCAGAGGAGCTGAGAGAAGGCAAAGAGGATTAAGACTAATGTTCATTTACTGCTGAAATAGTTCATGATTATCATTGTTTTACATTAGGACAATGTACTGTGTAGTTGTTTATGACATCGGATTGAAGGAGGCAGAGGAAGTAAGTCTAAGAAGGCAAAGAGGAAGAAAAAGAAAATGTAGAAAATAGAAGAAGACGAAGAAGGAGACAAAGAAGAAGAAAAAGACAAAGAAAGAGATGGAGAAGAAGACAAAGAAGGAGAAGAAAACAAAAGAAAAAGAAAAAGAAGGAGACATCAGTAGTTTGTTAAAACTCATGACCATGATTGTATTAAACTTAGCTTGAAGTTACATTTAAATAAAAATATTTTAGGTCTTCTACCATAGAGCCGTTGTTTTATCTTTTGGAATATTACAAAATGTGATTTTACTTGTACATTTTATTGCTGCTCATATTTCTCTTTTGAATTCAACCATGAAGATACACCATTGAAATATAACCAATCACTCATGTATTTATCATCAATTAAATTTGCATGGACCATCTATTTTGTCAGTAATGTGATCATGATATATGATATGCATGTTTTGTTCTTTTTGTCCTTGAATCAGAAGGCAGTATTACATAAGACATTTTTAAAGTAACAGATCTGAGAATGTCTCTGTTAGACATTAATGAAGTAGAAATAATAGATGTTTTTACACTTTTTTGTACATGTATGTACATATACATCTACTACAATATTCTTATGCTACATGTATGTATTTCAACCTTGTAAAATGAACAATTTATCTTTTAGCTGCATATTTGATGACTCTTATAACATAAACCTATTCAATTCAATTCAGTACTAATAGTCAGTCATCTGCCCAAACATATTGGAATATGACCTGAATGTATTGCTGCACTAGTGTAAATGATCATCACAATCAATATAAGCAGTATTTAACTTACTTAAATCTGCATTGCTAGACTCAGGTATCTTCCAGTATACTCTGCTACAACAAATTTGGGATTTTCAAGATGAAATGAGTATTTCAATAATCATTTCTCCCTGCATGTATGAGCTACCCTGACCCAATCCCCACTAACACACACAAAACATATTGTAGCTGTACCAATTCTAACAGGTGCAGGTATGCATAGGTGTAAGCTTGTTCATATACTGTACATGTAAGTGTCTACACTACACTGACAGCGTAGTGTAGACTGTATGTAGACTTGTTGTAGTTGACAGCTTTGTGATAATAATAATATGTCTTGTCCAGGGTAGCCTCATCAGTATTCATAGTGTTCTCCTTGAGGGCCCAGCGAACATATCATTACCCCGGCTTTAGCCAAGCTACCATGAAAAGGTGCTCAAGCATTCAAGAAATATCCTTGTCATATCATTGTAACATTATCGGCTCTGGAAGGGAAGATTTAAGGACAAGTGCATCCTTCAGATATTTTCAATCCCCTGTGTTATATCTTTGCAGAGTACAAAGTATCATCATCATGGAAAATAGCCTCATCGATAGCCGGACTCCTGTGTTTGGCCATCCTGTGCCTGGCAGTGTGATGGCTTCACGTTCAAGAGCTGGTGTTCTAGTTGACCTTATGCCTCTTTCAGGCCAACCTGCACCCCTTAGAACAGGTAAATAATTAAGTATCACATTTAATTATTTTGTTATACAGAGCTCATCTCTACAAGTTTGTCTAAATATTGTAAAGTAGCTAAACACTCATTCAGTGGGCATGCACTCACTTGCATTCAAAGTTTATGGAGAGGGGGGGGGGGGGGGGTGGGGGGAAGAAGACACCAATGCTTTGGACAGAATAGGTGCCTCTGTGTGGAGTGGAAGAGTGGTTTATTAGGTAATGACATCAGTTCCATGGGGAATACCACCACTTGCATTTACCCTGGCCCTCTAAAAGAAAAAAGAAAAAGAGAAAGAGAGAGAATTTCCAAGTCATCTGACCCCTGCTTATCCTACTAATGCTTTCCATAAATTGAAGAGTAAGTATTTCAGAGAAGTTTTGGAGACTATTTAGTATTCATAAACTTTGAATGGTCACCTGTGAGCAAAAAGTTGGATAGAAATTAAGAGAATAATCAAGCCAAGAGTAATGAGTTATTGTATGGCTAGACAAGAAGACCAATCAAATTAAAGTTTTTTGTTGTTGCAATTGGTTCACCCTCAATGACTGCATAGTAAATTATGAAAATGAATTAATTCCCAATTGTGTGATCTGCAGACATTAGCCAAGACCTACTTGAGCAGAGGGGCAGCCAAGAGCAAGCCAAACTTCGGGAGAGATTTCAGTTGCTACAACAGTGGCAGCAACAGCAACAACATCAACTCATGTTGCAGCAGCAGCAGCAACTGGAGCTGCTAAGGAACCAGCAAGAGGTGGTGCAACAAGCTCTCATGCAACAGAAACTCAAGCAGTGGGGAGGTAGGCAGGTCAAAGGTCACGATCTTAGTGACGGAAATCCTATTCTAAGGAAGATCAGTGACCATGAAAAGCTTTTAAGAAAAAGTGACACAATGACACAGTGAAAAGAAAAATCCATCAGTCCCCTGGTTGTTTACTTACAAGCATATACACGCTTTCTTAGCAGTCAAGTAAAACAATTATCGATTAGCATCATCATCATATAAATGTGTACTAAAGAGCTTCTTTGTAAGAGAAAAAGTATGTTGCCATCTACAGATATTCACAAGTCCAAATTAACTCACAGTTGTACGTAAAATGTTGCATAAAGACTTCTATGAAAGCTCAAAAAATAATTATAAGCTGGGTTAATGATATGATTGCAGGGCCCTCAGGGAGAACGGTATAAATACTGATGAGGCTACCCTGGGTAAACAAGATATTTTGTTAGTATTATTATTATAAGTGCCCTTAAAAAAGTGTCAATACTTTGATTAAGGAAGTCGCTCTACTGTACAATGATCTTTGTCTAACTGCTGAATAAATGATCATGCAGACTAAATTATAAATGAGATGGAATTACTTCATGTGTATGAACTAAGCAGTGAGGATAAGTATTTTAACCATGTTGGCCACATTCACCACAGGTATGAAGGTCACAAACTCGCCACCCAAGTCTCCATCACACAGGCGTAGTCCAAAGAAATCACCCACAGCAAGTCCTACACGTGGGACCAAAGTGCCAAGTTCGATTCCCAAGGCCCTTGCTCAAGCAGCAATGACCCAGCCAGTATCTACTCAAAATGGACAATTGCCAGCTATGGGAAATCTGGATCCAGCTTCAAAGCGATGTGGATCATCAACTCTTCAGGTTTGAAAGATAATTCATTTCAGATATTGATTGTGTTGGTGAAATAATGTTATGGACCTTATAAATAAAGCCTAACATTGCATACTTGTATGAATATTATTATCAAATGTCTAAATTTCTGTTGTTGTAAATTTGCAAACGCTATCAGTATTTCTACTTAAGAACAATCAGTCACTCCTTCCTACTCCACTTTTTTTAGTCATCTGTTGATTGCCAGAAGGGTGCTATCTATGTGTAAGAGTACCGTAATTAACGGTTTATAAACCGCCCTTGTGTATTAACCGCACCCCTCTTTTTCACCCTAAAAAAAAAAAAAAGAAAAGAAATTTGCTGACTCTGTCGGCAGCAAGCCAGGTCCCTGTTAAAAAACCCACGCGAGAAGGCCTTTCATTTAACTGCGAGGTGCAGCTGAATGTGTAAGATCATTAATGTAAATTAAAAAAACAGTAGAGGACCTAGGATAGAACCTTGTGGTACGCCGTGTAATAGAAGAAAAATTGGAGGAATTATTATTATAAACTACATATTGAGATCTATCAGAAAGATTACTTTCAAACCGAGATGACAGACAAATTTGAGTGTTGTTCTAGTTTCCGAGTGGTGATTCAACACACCGATTACTGAGCTGGGAGACATTTTTTTTTTTTTTTTTTTGTGTGTAATGTGTATAAACCGCACCCCTGACTTTGAATTTTTTTCGGCGGCAAAAAGGTGTGGTTAATACACCGTTAATTACGGTACATGGGTTAATGCCCTTCTAGGAGGCATGATAGCTCAGTCGGTCGAGCAGTGGTCTCGTAATCCAGTGACCCGGGTTCGAAACCAACTCGATGCGCTAGTGCCCTTTGTTAAGGCATTAATCCTCATTACCAGGTCCCTCGGAGAGGACTTAAAGCCGCCGGCTGTCTGGTTGCTTACTAACAAGCATTTATGCTTTCTTAGCAGTCAGGTTAAATAACCACCACTAAAAAACCCCACTAATGCCCTTCTTGCTCTCAGTGGATGATACGCCTTTGTGTTTCTCTTGATGCAGGGGGACGCCGATCTTGACTCTGAGAGCGAGCATCCCGGCTCCCTGATGCTAGAGGGTGTTTACCCCCTCCCAGACACCGCGTCTGAAACCAGTGATGCAGGCAATGATGATGATCACCACGACGACATGTTTGAAGGGAGGAACAAAGATGCTGAGAGAAGAGATGATGAGATCTTCAGATCGGTATCAGATTTCTCCATGGTAGGTGTTAAACCCTCAAAGGACTGGGGTAAAGAGACCACCCTTGTAGCCTCAATACTAATGTGAAAAGCTTGGTTTTCACATGATACAGGGCTAGATATGCAGTTTTGACTTCAATGTTAGTAATAGATAAATCAGGACAACAACATTCTCACCTTTATAAACCAAATTATTTCTGACTTTCAGTTCCATTGCTATTCTACACTTGATTGTATTAAATTAGTAATATGACATTTAAATTTAAAAGTTTTTCCTACCCATTGTGGGTTGACTGGAAATATTTGAGGTTAGATACAATTAGATACAAAAGTGCATATAATGGATAATACAGCAGTTTTTAGAAAATGTGGTTTGTGAGATCTTGGAAACTTTATTTTCATTGAACAGACCCCCACCAGTGGAAGTCCTCGGGACATCCACCACCTCTCCATCCATCTCCCAGACACGGACAGGACCGAAGAAAGCCTGCCTCTCCAGTCTCCGGACCACTACCCCTCCTCTACCACCTCTCCCCAGCTATCTCCGTTCACACCCACCACACCATCCCGCCATGGGGGCAATCGTAGCACCCTGGATGGAAAGGAGGATGGAGGAGAGGGGCGTGGCAAGGAAGAGAGGCCTATTGAGTCTCAGCTCGGAGCGGAATTCAAGTCGTTTGAGGAACTGGTTGAACTGCAGATCAAAGCTGATGACCGAACGGTATGTATGTTTCCACGATACATACTTTGGAAAGGGATTTATCCATTTGACCTATAATTCTCAAGATTATGCATTTTATCTCACATCTTGCCCAAGTGCATGTCCTTTATTTTGCAGATATCTCTCTCTTCTCTTTTTTTCTTCTTCTTTTCCCCCTTCTCCTTCATATCAGTTCTTTTCTCTTTTTTTTTCTTCTTCCTGTGCTTAGTCTTCTTAAGTCAGCTTATTTTGGTCAAATTCCTCCTCAGTACCGGATCTCAATCTCCTCTTTCACCTTACAGCTCCCTACAGCTGGCTCCACCACTTCAGAACAGACCACCGGAAGACCGCGGCACACCTTCTTGAAGAGGGGCGAGGGCATCTCCAGATTTGGAATGAAACCAAGGAAACTCAAGCCTCGCAAAGACAAACCAGCTCTGCCGACTCGGAGCGGTGTCGGAGCGAAGAAGCCTAAGAGTGATGGAAGCAGAGTTGGGGACAAGACAGAGAGCATGGGTGGAAAGCAGAGGGAGAATGTTGGCAAGAAGAGGCAACCAAAGAAAGAGGAGCCTCCAAAGGTAATTTCCATGACTACCCGGTATACATTTGCTTGTCATATCCTAACATATTTGTTGGGGGTAATCTAAATGTGGTATGGGCAAATGATTAGATGGCATGCTTTGTCTGTTTAGTCCTAGAATATGGACATATGATATTTGTACTTCAGAATTTGATATAAACCAACACAAATATTATCACTTTTTTGTCCTATACCTCTAGCACAAGCCTCATCTTATTCTAAAAAATATTCCTTCATGTGACCACTTTGAAAAAAAAACATCTAAAAAAATTACCTCTACTGGTCTGCATGACTTGAATGTTGTTTCCTCCGGAAAAAGGCACTATGTAAATCCAATTATCATGATCAATGTTATAGATGTCACTATGTCTTACCAAGATTCATGATTTATTTATTTCATTCCACTGACATGAAAACAATACATTCATGAACAGTGACAACATTTTTATCGTGAACAAGAATAAATTCATGAACAATACAAGAAAGTTATAAAGACATTGAAAATGTGGAAAAGAGGTGGTCTGTAAAAAGCACAGCTTGTTAAACACAGATCACCTTTACAAGAACAACAACAACAAATATTTAAAAAGAAGTAGATAATAAATAATATAGAATAGAAATAGAAATATGGAAATTATATGAATTTATCTTCCTGGAAATTCATTATCAAATTAAAATGAATATTCATCCACTCTAATCAGATTTCCAGGAAGGTCTCTAGCAAGCCCCCATCTCATTCTCAGCCTGATGTGCAGGCACCGGAAAACATCTTCAAGAAGCCCCACCCAGCTCCGGCACAGAAACCCAGGACCATCAAACCAGTCATGTCACCGGTGGAGAGAGAGAAGGTGGGTGTGGCCCCCCTCCAGCATCGTCTCATGGTGCCCAGCCTAGACCTACCGTACAGTAGCCAATCAGAGCTTGACGACACCATAGAGGTTTCTTTCATGAGACGTGCTAACATCTGGGAGAAGGAAACCAAGGTAATTTGGACAAGATGTTACTTTTCAAATGTTCTTTGTACACTATGTTAATAGAAGTAATTTTAATGCATTACTGACAAGGATATTTTGTTAATCAGAAAGTCATTCTGGTCAGTAATGAAACCATTTCTGACCATGCTGGTTTTTATAAATATATCAATCATACACTCTTATTGTACTATCAACCCCTTCTAAACCATGTTTCAGTCTCTGACTAAAGATCCATTCCTTAATTTACTCACAATCAAATGTATCTAAAGAGATGATTGGTACTTCAAAATTTTAAAAATAGCAACAAAAACACAACCGACGTTCTAATGTAAGCAAACGACATGGCCGATGATAGCAGATAATGCCAACTCTGCTATCGTGCACCACTTGCTGAAGAATGAAGAATGCACTGAACAATACTGTTTATCTTGGTGCAAAATGACATGAAATAAACCATTAAGATGATCAGGATCCAACTGAAGAAGGAAAAAACCTTATTTACCTTCAAAAAGTGCAAGATAAAAGGTTTCTACAAGTGTAAACTATCCAACCGTTTGTCTATACTTTACACATTTACTTACTTTCTTATCATTTGAAATGTTTTTTATATGTATGTTTTTAAAACTTGTATGTATATATAGATTTTGGACATAAAAACAAACAAACAAACAAACATTTGTTTCAAACATTGTTCATATAGATAGAGCAAGAAGATCTAGATGAGTTTGAGATGTTGGAAGAGGCTGCTGATGATAACGCATCATTCTGCAGTGAAGCTTCGCTGGTCATCAGTGTCCTCCAGAGAGCTCAGAGGAGAAAACAGGTTGGTAGCATTTGGACTCTTTGTTCTTTTTCTGTGTGGTGTGTATATGTGTGTGTTTCTCTCTCTCTCTCACTCTCTCTCTCTCTCTCTCTCTCTCTCTCTTTCTCTGTCTGGCTCTCTTTAATTATTGTTGTATATTTAATTAAAGAGATATTACTCTACATTTTTGACACTAAACCAAGGTGTAGTAGGTAGGTACTAGGTGTAGTACATAGACCCAGGCCTAGAGGGTTAATCATTCCTGAAATGCCATGTGCAACGTTAACATATCAATATATTTATTGATTTATTTGTTGTCAACTTTCTCTCTCTCTCTCTCTCTCTCTCTCTCTCTCTCTCGCCTCTCCTACTGTCATCCTCTCAATTTCTTTTCCTCTGCATTTTATTTACTGTACTTTAAATTGAACTCCACATTTTTACTGTTCCTAATCCTTGTTTCTCCTGAAATTTCAGGAGCTTCTTGGTGTATCCCCACTGAACAAAAAGGCCCCTCTAGCAACTCTCCAGTCTGTGGATGCCACTGAGGAAAATAATTATGAGTCACATGACAGACCACCTGACCAGTCACATGACCCTACCCTGATGAATGGACACTATACTGAAAATGTGCATATAGCAAGTGACAAAAGGAATGGGTATTCTGAGCAAAGAGGTACAAAGGTGACTGATGGTAAACCATCGCTGGCGGTTCACAGGGAGACGGTTCCGAGTGGACGGTTGACCTTGGGTGAAGGTCACGCGGCGGAGATACGAGATGACTTCTACTCTTCCGGAGGAGAGTCGGATGAAGAGACGGGGAAGGATGCGGATGATGCTGGGGTAGGGAGGTCAGTGATGAGAAAACTATCTAAGAGATCTTCAGAAAAGGGTTTTATGATGGAGTATCAGCTGGACTCACAGCAAGACGAGGATGAGAGTGGAAGGATAGAGGGAAAGGAAGTCAGCAGACATCTTGGAAGGTTACATGACAGTGATGATGAAGAGGAGGAGGAAGAGGAAGAGGAAGAAGATTTTGATATTTATAGAACAGGAATGAATGAAAACAAAAACAATAATAGCAACACCAATGTTAGACATGAAATGCTGCTGACACAGAACAGGACCGCAAGCAGTCAATTCATAAGAACTTCCAGCAGCACAACAGCTAAGGGCTCACACCCGAATGAAAATGGAGATACCCACAATGGCCATTCAGTGGGAAAGATTAACATATCAGATGAGTTTGAAGAAGATTTTGAGGGAACACCAAGGAAGACCATAGCGTCCCCCGAGGTTGCGAATCAAGTTGAGTTTGAAGATGAAGAAACGTGGGGAGACTTCACGGCACAGCTTAGTGATAGCAGTGATGAGGACAGCATTGTCGCTATGGCACCCTATCTCAAATCAACTCCAGCAAAAGGTATGTTCAGTTTGAAATGGTCTGTTTATGGAATTCTATTGAAATTGTGCTCAAAAGTTGGACTACAGCCTGGAATTACCTAATCCCCGGCATTGCTATTACCTTCATACAAGCATTTTAACCAGGAGCATTAATTACTGTTTTCGTAAATATCTTCAGATGAGGGGAAAGTGGGGATGAAAAGAAAGAAGAGCGAGAAGACAGCGAGTGGAGAAGTCCTTCTGTCTCCTCCTCCAACCTCAGCTCTCGTTGCCAAACTCTTCCCAAAGCTCAGGCAGCCTGATGTCAAACAAAAGCAGCAAATCGTAAGTGGCATGTTCTTTCTCCCCACCCCACATATTATGTTATCTTTCTGTGTCGTTTTTATCCTCATTTCATTAATTTGTTTACATTTGTTTACAATTACTTATTTTAAGCATCTGTTATTTAAAGAGTTCAAAGACGTAGCTAAGATCAGCATGATTCTAAAGATAAAGTTTTGGGCTTGACACTCTTTAGGCTCCAGTATAAAGAGAGCCCACCCCCCTTCCCTCAATTTAATACCTGGTCCTTGGGGAGGGGGTGTAGTTTTATTATTTATTACCAGGATATTATCATTATGATAAATCTTTGTGTACTTAAATATTTTCTCGAGGAGCATAAGGTCAAGGTAATGCCAAGGCTGAGAGACCGGCAGGAGCAGGCTACAATTATTACTATAATTCTGATGGTGTTTGTAGATGCTTCTGTTCTTCTCTTCCTCATTTTCCTCCTCCTACTCGAAACCCTGCCCTCTGTTTCTTCTTCTTCTTCTTCTTCTTCTTCTTCTTCTTCTTCATCTCCTCCTCCTCCTCCTCCTCCTCCTCCTCCTCCTCCTCCTCCTCCTCCTCCTCCTCCTCCTCCTCCTACTACTACTCCTCCTCCTCCTCCTACACCTGTTTCATTATTGGTGTTATCATCATTGTATGTTTTTTTTCCCAGGAGCATGAGGAGAAGGCCCTCCATGCCAAGGCTGAGAGACCTGCAGGAGAAGGCTCCCAGGCAAGGCTCCTCAGGGATCGACTCACCCAGCTGGAGAATGAGATTGAGAGATTCAGGAAGGAGAACCTCCTCCTTGCCAAACTCAGGGAAGAAAGAGAGAAGGTAAGTTATTTCTTGGTATCACCTGTGCCTGGGAGGGGATAAGCAAACTGAACCACTGTGACCCTCTGGTCTTCCCTTCCGGTACAACTGGTTGGGGGTGTGCAGGGGTTTCCCCCTACTCTGATTTAAAAAGTGCAGTGGGTTCAAAGGTGGCAACTCTCCTCTACACAGGGTCTCCATTTAACATCCTATCTGAGGGACAGTGCTTTCCACTGTCTTTTAGCCCTCTACGAAACAGAGGAAGGTGATATTAACAGACAACTCAGGTTTCAGTTATCCGTCTAGGTTGGATTCAAACCCATGACCTTTGGTTTGACAGGCAGACACTTAACTGACTGAACCTCTCATCTCGCCTTGTAATTAAAACTTCCTTCAAATAGTGATTAACATTAATGTCACTCACTGGGCTTATCATTTTTTACAGAGAAATGGATTTGTGTTAAACTTATTCGTCAATGTTGGATTGTCATTCCATCTGATGTTGTACGGCTCATTTTGGTGAAATTACCACAATATGAATTTATTCATCCTGGGGGGTGTTTCACAAAGATCCTAAGTAGAACTTAACACTAAGTGGGACATAACAATTATGGACAGCCATTGGAGCCTTAAAATGAAATATATTCAAAAGCAGAAATTCAAGTATTTTTAGACTTTTTATAAATTCCACATCAAGAACATGAAATCTCCTTGATGATAGAAAATATGAATGATTGGAATCAACATTTTATGCCTTTTAAAATAACTTTTACAAAATATTTTCAGAGATGCTAATGGCTTTCCATAATTTTTAAGTCCAACTTAGAGATAAGTTCAACTTAGAATCTTTGTGAAACACCCCCCTGGACCATAAAAAGTTACTTCTCACGTTTTATTCTTGAACTCTTAAGTTTTCCAGTAAATTCATTCATTTAATATCCTGTGACTCTGTCATCATCATTATGATCTTTATCATTATTACCACCGTCATCTTTATCATTACTATCACCATCATCATCACCATCATCCTCATCATCATCATCCTCTTTATCATCATTATCACCATTATCATCTTCATCATCATTATCATCATTATCATCATCATCATCATCATCATCATCATCATCATCATCATCATCATCATCATCATCATCATCATCATCTCATCATCTTCATCACTGACATTATCATCACCATCATCATCATCATCTTTATCATCATCATCATCTTTATCATCATTATCATCTTTATCATCATTATCGTCTTTATCATCATTATCATCTTTATCATCATTATCATTATCAATGTCATCATTATCATCACCATATCGTCTTCATCATCCTCATCCTCATCATCATCATCTTTATCATCATTATCATCTTTATCATTACTATCATTATCATCATCACGATGCAGGGATTAGAGTCCATGAAGAAGGAGATGGAAGAGTTTCAGAAGCAGAAAGCAGAAGAGTTGCAGAGAATTCAAGAATACAAAGATGAGGAGACAAAGAAACTCAAGTAAGTTCAGCAAGTTATGATAAGAATGCCCCTTTTTTTAAAGAATATTTCAATATCTTCAAAACTTTGCTCAGACATGATGCAGTGAACTGCCTTTAAAACAGTTGTATAAAAAACTTTATATTTAAATGAATGGCAATAGACATGAAAGACTGAAAATACATAATCTGTATAGATTATAATGTAGAAAATGGAATTAAAATTGAAAATAATGTAAAAAAAAATCAACCTTTCTAGGAGAGTTCATCTCAACCCTATATAACGCAAAAGAATCTTGTGCTGAAATTTTAGTACTTTTTTTTTTCAAGTCTTGCTTTTTGAAAGTCTTTTTTGAAATCGAACCTACCATGACAAATTCATGTGACCTTTTGTCTTTGCATGTCGGCCCTCACTGCAAATCATTCATTTTCATGATTTGTGTACAAAACATATGGAAATATAATTTTTCCAAAAAGGGATAACAAAATTGTTATTTGATCTTGTTTATAGTTTAGATGTTTGTTTTGGGGGTCAACATAGTTGAATTATATTTAGAAATGAAATAAATTAACAAAAACAATACAATACATAGGTTATAAAAACAGTGAAATACATAAGAAATTATAAAAACAATAAATAACATGGCTCTTCCAAATTGTATTATTATTCCAAATGGTGTAAAGAGATTATGTAGTGAAAATGAATGTTTAAATGTGAAGAATGTTTAAATTATATGATTCATGGGTAAAAATGTGAATTTTATCACCTTAATGGAATAAATGACCATGGGGGGGGGGGGGCCTTAGAAGATAAGTCACAGCTAGGACTTACAGCGTTGTCAAATTTGTGTTGGATTGATTACAACTACAGAGATTCATAACTTTCTTCTTTTTCATTTTATAGCATTTTGCTCAAACATTCTGTGATCTGTTCCTTTTATTATTCTGCTTCTATTAAAACACACTAAGGGTGGACTTCCCCTTTAAATGTTTGTATTTTAGATGTTTAACCAATTCCACTTACCGGTAGAAGAAAACACAAAAAGGAAATACACAATTAATTCTACCTTCACTTCCTGTGTGGGAGATTCCCTCACAGTCACAAATGATTAAAAGGACAAAAACACAATGCCTAATCGGTGACCATTGGTCCCCCATGATCCCCTTTTTCTTATGATAATTGAGAGCTTATTTGATGAGATAACCACCTGTCAGTGACCATGCAGGGAGGTCTGATCCCTCCTAGCCAAACTAGTGTGGTGGGGCTTTAATACGAGTGACCCTATTAGGCTGTAATGCAAAAGCAAGATCACAACGAAAATAACAAGCGGCCCCTCCCCTTGAAAAAAAGAAGAAACACATAAAGAAATTAGCAATACAAAACATATAAGCTACGATATGTATGTTTTCTACAACTACAGTAATTATACATTTATGTCTATTACATGTACCTGTAACTTTTTTTAAATATATAAAACTACTATTTCTTTATTTTTAATTTCTTTTGAAGTTTTCAAATGATGCACTCCAAACTTCTTAAAAAAAGACACACAAAATACGATAGTAGCATAGTAAATACAAGAAAAATCAGTGACCCTGTTTAACCTGTCCAATAATAATTATAATCCTAGTTTATGCAAGAATGAAAACAATTCCATTAAAACAATGACTCATAGATTTCCCCTGAAATGCACACCTATCCCGCCCAAGTGCAAGGACATCCACTTGAGGATATTTTGAATTATTAAAACGTCGACCTACAAGGAGACGTTAACGAGTTGTTGTTCCTGGTAAAGCCCTAAGCCTAATATGTTTCCTTAATTAACCCTTTCCCCCTTCCTCTGCAATGTATCCCATGCAGTTGAGCTGCTGGAGCACCGTCTACAGCAGTCAATGAGTTGATGCATTGAAGTTAAATGCAATAGACATGGGGGTGCCTATACCCTATTACATGATTTGAAGGACACACATGTTGACATGGTGTTGCAGGGAAGGAATTGATTTTGGATATTTTTAGGTTGGGAACAGCGTTTCCTAGTAAGGAATATTAGGGATTACTACATGTACCTGAAGCACCTGTGTTTTGATATCTGTAATGCTGGTAAGCTGAATTGTTTTATTGTGTCTATATTTGCTTAACTGTTTGTATGCTTGTATATTTGTTACATGTAATACATATCTTGTCCTCGTAAAGAAATGCCTGCATTATATTGTTTGAATCCATGTGATTTTAAAAAAATTTGTTAGTATAAATAATTAATTGAATGCTATTGATGTGTGACACACATACCTGCATGACGACATCCGGATACTATTTCTGAATAACAATTTGCCAAATAGGGCAACATGGACATTTATGTATCATTGCTTGATGCAGAAGACATTGAAGGGATATAGTTTTATGTCTTTGTTCCTTGAATGGATCAGAACAGAGGTCCTTTTTATACACCCTTCTAAAGAGTTGTGATTGATCCAATTTGAACGCATATAATAACCAGAGTAAGTAACATTGTAGATGATAGATGGGTGATTTTGAGGTTCACAGTTTTCAGACTGGAGAACTTTGAATCCATTCAGGTTTTGAATCAATTACAACTTATATCAGACAAAAGCATTTTATTGTATTTCTTTGTCTTTTGACTAGACGAGAGAGGAAGATGTTTGAGAAACACCAGAAGACATTAAGAACCATGCCTGATAAACGAGACAGAGAAGAAATTGAGATGCTTAAACACCAGGTAAAGATCTAATCATGTTCCCTTTGTAGAAATGTAAAAGATCACTGAGGGTACCACTGAAACATTTAGGTTGTACTTTTATAAATGTTTTTATTTGTTTAAAAAACACATTTCCAAACACTGTCATGAATATGTTACTGTTTGAATTGTCAATATTAAACAACCTAACCAATTACCCTTGTGAATACCTGCAAGAATCGTCATAGTAATTCCACTTAATGTTTCTATAGATAGAGGGTCTACAACACAGTATTTAAACGATGCATTAACCTCCTCTCCCTCTCTTTTTCTTTCTCTTTCTACATAATAATAATAACAATAATAATGGTGGCTTCTTATATAGCGCACATGTCCGTCACGTTGTGACGCTCCTGGCGCCGCCCCGATTATTATCCTGGCTTAATATTAATATAACATTTTTACACACTTTGTCTCTGTGTATGTGTTTCAATCCACTTATTCCTTCCCTAATTTAGCACCATTCACTGTATCTTGCCCCCCCCCCCCCCTCCCTCTCTCTCTATCTCTTTCTCATCACCTTCTCTCTCTTTCTCCTCCCCTTCTCCCTCTTTCTCCTCCCTTCTCTATTTCTCTCTCTCTCTCTCTTTCTTCTCTCTTCTCTCTTTCTCCTCTCTTCTCTCTCTCTCTCTCTCCCCCTCCCTCTCTCCCCCTCCCTCTTTCTTCTCTCTCTCTCTCTATCTCTCGCTTTTTCTTTCTCTCTCTCTCATTTTTTTTATATCTTACATTGTCTGTCCTTATATCACTCTCTCCTGCACATCTGTCTGTGTCTGACTCTCTGTCTTAAACCCTGTGACTCCATCCCCATGTTTTTTTTCCAATCACCCTTGCTATGTGACACTTATCATCTTTTCCCCTCATCCTTTAGCTGGGTGACCTTCAAACAGAGCTCAAGCAACGTGAGTCCAGATGGAACGCATCAACCAGGAGGCTCAAAGATCGGACCGTTGCCTTGGAAACTGAGAATACTGAACTCCGGGAGGAGGTGAGACTCATGGAGCAGAGAAGACTAGCTGCCTGGAAGAAGGAGGAGCATAACAAGGTAAAGAACTTTCTAACAGTTGGAGAATCATTTTTTATTCAATCTGTGAATTTTCGTTCTCCTCCTGAGTAATGACCTTACTCACCTGTACAACATTTAACAAAAAGTAATATATAGGTAACTAACCACTTCCTTTATAGCCCCACTGCACTACTTATAGCTACTTGCGCCCTCTATATAGCAAACAATGCCTAATCGGTGACCATTGGTCTCACATGGTCCCCTTTTTCTTATGTTAATTGGAGAGCTGATTTGATGAGAAACTACCTGTAAGTGACCATTTAGGGAGGTCTAATCCCTCCTGGCCAAACTAGTACAGATGGGCTTTAACACATATGAAAGCTGGAGTAAAAAAAAAGTAACTTAATCTTCTTTGTTATCAGTGGCAAATAAATCTGGAATTCACTATTTTATCTTTTTTATATTTTTTAAATCCAACTACATATAAGATAACAAGGAAAGAAGTAGCGAGAGAGCTTTGTATTTTCATTACTCTCTCAATGGCAATGTGTGAGAAGTTTTAGTTGGTAGCGGAGATGAAATCTTTAAAGTACATTTGATTTTGATATATTTTATCAGGGATAAAATTGAATCACAAGAATGCTCCAGTAAAAAATACTAAGCTTGGATCAGTTTTCAATCTTTTCATAGAACAATCAAAAGTTTAGGGGAGCATTCATTATTGTGTACTCTATACAATCAGTTCATGTATTTGGTGATAAGAGAGTTAAAAAAAAACTTTAAAAGACATTATTATTGTTGTTTTGATTTGTTGTAGGGAAAGCCTATCTATGCACAGCCCTCCTCAATACCAAAACCAAAACCGAGTCCCCCCGCAAGACATGAACATCAAACAATGGAACAGTCCAACAATAATAACATCAACAAGAAGAGGCCAGGAAGTGAGGACCGTCCCATTATTAGAAATGGGGATAGTCAGCATCACAGAGGGAGTGCAAAGTCCAGGACCATGTCAGAGAGCTCAGATGATGATGATAGTGATAATGAATACCTGCAAGCATACCCCGCACCTAGAATGGAACCTTCCAAGCAGGATGATGATATGTGAGTCTTCTTTTGCTTTTATATTGGTTGCACTAGTCGATCTCATGAATATTTATTTTAACTCATCAAGTTTAGAATTGATCTTGTTTTTTGTTTTTTAATTATTATTATTTTGTACCCTATCTTACTTGCTACTGCAAGCCCTCAAATGTACCATATAAAATGTACATGATACATCTTTCAAAATATCAGGGTTGTTTTTGGTATAAGGATTTTTCATGGCCAATATTACATGTTCATTTTTATTTAGACCCAATGTATATTTAAAAACACAATTTTGTGATGATTAATATGAAAGCATTGGTATAAAGGTATTGAAAGCAGAGGGCATTTGATATTTTGTTTTCATAATACTTGTTTGATGATTATACTGTATTTTCCATCTGTCATCCTGATATATTTGATCTTTGAAAGAGTTTTTTTTCTTTTTTCTCATTTGTATCTAACCCTCTATTCGATTTGAAATTATTTATGAATGAACGAATGAAAGAATGATTTTATTACCATTTTTGAAAGAACATATAAAACATATACATGGTAATGGGAGAACATGAAATAGTCCAAAATTGTTGTTCCCTGATACCTCATACTACATACAAAGTATTTTAACACTAAGTAAAATGCATGTTAATATGATCCTATATTCCATAAAAAATTGAATGAGCAAAATAATGTATATAATATGCCTCGCAAATGTAAATATTGGCAAGAAGTGCATTTGTACACGCACACAAAGAAAGAAACAAACAATTTTTGTTTAATACTTTCGACAATATATACCTATTGTATGGCACTGTAATTGTAATCAGTCTATGAATTAAAATTAAAATATTTACATTGAGATACATTACTGTGCATATTCCATCAGCATCCTTCTCTTAGCTCCTTATAAAATGATTTTAAAGAGGGTTTCTCTCTAACATCTAATAGCAATGAGTTCCATATCCATGATTATTCCTATTATGACATCTACTGCTTGATACATGCACGTAATTCAGGAGTTATTCTTGGAGTAAGTATGAAGTGGACCTATATCTACTTGTAAGAACCTCCCCAATGTTGCTGTAGGTTGTTCTATATGATTTTAAGTTTTCACAGTTCTATATCTGTTGTTCCCTTGTGCAGTAAACTCTATCTTGACACCTTTTGAAGAGTCCATGTATAGCTTTGTTTCATTGCGGTATGAGCAGTCTTGTATGGAAGGTTATACAACTCACTCCTAGATTTTAATCAAATGATTGATCATACGCGGTCACGTGTGATGCATTTACTGAGACTATCACATGCTTTTTTTATGAAAAAGAGTGCAATAGTTTACAGAACTATGCACCGATGCGTAGCAGTGAGGTTAAGTTGTTTCTGTACTTGCGTAGCACGTGTGTAGCACTGCGCGTAAGCACGCATAGAGGTAACTGCGCTTTTCTCTGTGTGTGCGCTAAAGTAAGCCTATTTTTCATCGATAATAACATGAAACAATCCTGAACAAATTCTTTTTTACATCAAATAACAAGGGTCTAAGAGTTTCATTGTATAAAACAAAAGATGTATGTTTTTCCTTCTTCATTGCAGAATCTATCCACTCTCGTTGAGGCTATTTGTGCACTTATCGTACTCAGCCTGACAGGTTCATAGGATAGATGCATACAGCCTCAACTAGAGTGCAGATAGATCGTATAATGAACTCATTTGCATGCATCTTTAGAACATAGACTGCATGATAATTTCAATATTTGTTGTCTGTTTCTTCATGTCTCTCTTTGCTATGACGTGATACGTCTTGCATTGTAAATGATGTGAGGTATTTGCAGTTTTTCTATTGCCATCTCCCACACCGTACATAAACCTAGTGGTTTGACATGTAGACCCTTTTTTGTCTTCTTATTTTTATTGCATTTGCTTTAAAAAAAATGTAGTGGAGGTATTATCACTTTCTTGTTCTGTGATGTGTTTGCGTGGAAAATACATGTGTTGGAAATGGATTTGGAAGAGCTACATACTCCATTGAAGAAGATTGCATGTTTGTCATTGGTGTGAAGTCATCTTTTCTTGTTGTCGCATGCACAGATTTAGAGAAGTGGTAATACGAGAACCATCTCCCCAAGTCTTTGTTCATGGATCAAAGGTGGATTTGAATTAGTAATTAGATTACCTTGTGGCTCTCCTTTGTCTTTTGAGGACAGTCAGGACACTTCCCATGCAATGAATTCTGTAAGACCCAGCTGTGATCTCGTCATACCTTATTTTCTCTTTTAAGAGAGAATTTTTTTTGATTTCCGCTAAATATAGTTCATATTTGACAATGAACACTATCTTGTGTTGTTGTTTAGAAACAAAGAATTGCATTGGATTTGGCTATGTACTTGGCAGGCATGAATAAATAAAACAATTAATAACTAAAATTGACTTGTGGCAGTAATCATCGAATTGAGCTAAATATTTTGATTTTTTTTTCCTTCAAATTATGATTATATATGATGATAACTGAACTATTCTAAAGGAACTACTATATATGCTTCTTTTATTTATAGAATTTATGAGAGCCAAATAGCTCTCAGACGGAGTCGATCGCCGTCAGACCGCGAGCCACCTCCCATCCCGGTACCCAATGAGAGAACCCCGCCCCCTGCCCGAACGAAACCCTCGTCCCTCTCCCCCTCTTCAACATCCTCCATCCAGCCCACCCCTCTAACCAGAAGTCCACAGCACCTACCTCATCCCAGACCAAGAGGCTCACCACATAGAGACATGCAGAATGGGCATGGGTTCAACCATGGGGTTGCAGGTAAAGGGGTGGTCAGCATACACCAAGATGGAGGAGATGATGAGGATTATGAAGATGTTGTACATGGAGATGGAAAGGTAGGTTATGATTTCTTTTGTCATCTCCATCCCTTTCAGAGATCAAAAGAAGGAAAAAAACATGAATCTTATCTTACTGCTCTCTGCATAAATTGACTGTTTGTGATTGAGTGCAAGGTTTTCAAATATGCAAGAAATATGCTTGGATGAGAAACGATTGAAGAAAATTGATTTCAATATGCAAAAGAACGCACTCTGATGTTTTCAGGTAATCAGGTGTAGCCAATTTGAGTTCCCCTCTCTAATTGCAATTAGGCTTTTCTGAAATCAGTAATTTCTTGTCAGTCCCTGTCATGCACTTTACTCTATTCTTAATGGCGGTTCAACCTTTATTTTTGCCATGAATTTAAAAGGGGAAACTATAGATTACTGTTAAGAATGATCATTGCTCATGAGAGCCCATGTCTTTTGAATCTAAGCTGCTAATCCTAGCTACTAAACTTACATGTATATACAGTGAAACCTGTCTATAAAGACCACCCAATGGAGACAAGAAAAGTGGTGTTTATAGGCTGGTGGTCTTTATGTACAGGTTCCTTTAGTATATGTTTCGATGACATACCATTTTCAAGGGAAACAAAAATGTGATCTTTGTAGACAGGTGGTCTTTCTATACAGTGCAGATTTGATTGTACCATTCCCTTTGACCATCACAGGTTGAGCAGATCAACCCAGATGGGTCAAGAGTTCTGACCTTCTCCAATGGAACGAGGAAAGAAATCAGTGCTGACGGTCAGACCATAATCATCTCTTTCTTCAATGGGGATGTCAAACAGATCCTACCAGATCAACGTGTGGTGAGTCTTTTTTCATCATTTCTTTCTTACATCCAGACTTTTATTCTCACACAATTCATCTAGCAGAAGTGTTGTGGTCTAGTGGATACGTCGCGGGACTGTGGATGGCATGGTTTACGATTCAAGTCCCGTCTCAGCCCTAATGTCCTTTGGCAAGACATTATTCTACATTTGCCACTCTCCACCCAGGTGTTAAATGGGTATCTGGTTGGATGCAAACGTTAATGTGGTTGGATTGGCACATGTGCGCTTGTAAAATGGCAGCTGGCTGGAATACTCCTCAGGGAGCGGAAAATGTGCACTATCAGTATCATGTGCAGATTAGCAATTGAATCCAATAACCGGGGTAATGTTAATAACAATGTAAAGCACTTAGCAACGTAGTATAAAGCACTATACAGATGTTTGACTATAATCATTTCACAAATGATACATTTTTCTGGTATTGTAAACTGGGAAATTTCAGTCCAGAATGGCTGAAGTAGGAAGGAACCCCAATTCAAAGGAAGTCCACACTTTTGTTGGTTGATAAAGGTTATGAAAGACTCCCTTTTACATTATGTCAAACTTTAATGTGGTATCAATACTGAAATAGCTTCGGTCATTTATGTGGAACTGATAAAGGACTATATAAAAAACAACTATTATAATCATCATACAAAACATGCAAAATATGTGATCACTGTTTCTCCTTTTTTTTCTTCATCAGGTATACTACTATTCAGAGACAAAGACAACTCACACTACATACCAAGATGGCTTGGAAATCCTCCAGTTCTCAAAGTAAGTATATATCATTACTTCATGTTTGGGGTATGGGGAGGGTTTTTCTTTCTCTCAAGGTTAAACTTGTTTATTACTTCTTGACCAGAGATGGGGCTGGAGGCACTTATTATATTATTTTACAAGCTGAAGCATGGTTTTCATGTGAAATGAAATCAATGGTAGCATCATCATATCTTTATTGCAATAGATATTGAAGCTGTAGACTTATTAAGAGGATGAAGATGAGATGGTGTCTTTGATTAATTTCAATATTTCGTTGAGACTAACTTTTTTTAAAAAGATGATTACGTTAGATCAGCTTTTAATACCTGTCTTGGAATTCAAACTTACTGCATATTCATGATTCATTTCCTTCTGGATGTATTCCAAACACGAGCAAGAATAGTGAATGCCTCCTCATGTTCATTTCTTATCCCACCTGTATCACACAGTAATCAGACTGAGAAGCATTATCCAGACGGTACAAAAGAGATCACCTTCCCTGATCAGACTATCAAGTACCTCTTCCCTAACGGTGGAGAGGAGAGCGTGTTTGCGGACGGCACCGTCCTCAGAGTTGACCCCAACGGTCATCGGGTCATGGAGTTCCCCAACGGTCAGCGAGAGATCCACACTGACCAATACAAGGTAGGGATCGGATACAGCTTGTAATTTATTAAAACCTACAGATTATTAGCACTGTAGGTAATTGCTAAATGAAAGAAACAACAAATTGCAATCTCATTTCCATAGACTACAAGGTACAGACTAGATTCTGCTTTCAACCATTAGTTCTTACAGCTCATTCGCTCTGAAGCTCACTTGAAGTAGAAAAATGTGTTGGAATTTTTTTCTTCTTTGATTTCCATTTGATTGTTTTCTAGATGATCATGTATCATACTTAGGATAATAATGATAATAATAATAATAATAATAATAATAATAATAATAATAATAATAATAATAATAATAACAACGGTGGCTTCTTATTTAAGGATGAGGATTTATACAAACTAAAGTGGTATTACATCGTAATCATTTCTTTACACTGTGAGGGTTCTCATTAAAACTTTGTGGTAATTATCTTCTACCCTCCCAGGTGTATCAGTAATTTTCAAAATAATAATGTTTTCCGACTTCTCTTTACCTTCAAGTTCAACCAATATTATTAAAGACAATGATTTCTCTGGTCTCTTTTTCCCTACAGAGGAGGGAGTACCCTGATGGCACAGTGAAGACCGTCTACCCCGATGGCCGCCAGGAGACCAGGTACTCTAGCGGTAGAATCAGGATCAAAGATAACACTGGGAACATCGTAGTGGATAGGAAGGGCTGAGGTACCATGGTGAACAGTCCTGGGGGTGTTTCACAAAGCCTTTTTTCAATGAAAAATGACAAAAATCAGTGACAAATCTGCTGATAACCAATCAGAAGCGAGGATTTCAGTAGCTTATAACAACAACTGTCATTTGTCACTAATGACAAGTTTTGTGAAACACCCCCCCAGGATGTAACATCCCATGAACCCATTTTCTTCTGGATCCAGATGGCTTCTGTATTACCAGCCATTGCTCATTGGAGAGTGAGAGAATCCCATGGTGAAGAGGTTCAAAGTGAAAAGCCAAGGAAGTATATTCCCCATGTCCTTTTGATGGGTGTTTTATTTTAAACTCATCACTCCAACAACAACAACAACAACAAAACCTACACAGAAACAGACAGTTATTAAGCTTTTGAAAGCTTCCAAAGAACTATGGAGAACTTCGGCCTTGGGAATACTCACCCCTTCACGAAAAGATTTTAACTTTTCGTTCACTGTGAATCGTCGTTATTACTTAAGATAACCCTGTAGAGAAAGACCACCTGCCAATACAGACTGCTTTTTTTGTCTTTGTGAAGTGGTCTTTACGTACAAGTTTTATTATCACCCAACTGGAGAATGAAATGATTTTTTTTTTTTTACTCAAGAGTGATCGCCGATGGACATTTTTCTAAGTATGTTTTCCTCTATACCTCTATGGCCAGCATCTTTAAATATAATTATTGCTTATATTTTGCTTTGTAACTTTCTTTTTCATTTTCTTGCCATTATTGCACCTATGTGTATAAATTTCATAATTTTGTGCTTCTTTGATTTTTTGCCAGTATTTTCTGGGATTGATTTTGTTTATTTGACTGATTTCATGGTTTTTGCTTATACCTCGCATAATGAGTTTGGCCAGTTTTGTATGTGAGGACATCAATGTACTAACCCAAAGTTAATTATTCACTTGCCCAGATTTAAAGGCATTTTATTTATTACAATTGTGCACAAGTTCTAACAGGTGCTGAGACTGGCAGCCATAATAAAATGATATGAAGAACTTATATTGCACCATTTATAAATCACATGCAATTGTTTTAATTGGTGTAAGCCAGTGAAGCTTACACTGTCCACTGGTAACGCACCTTTTCAAAGACAAACTCAACTTGGCAAAATCTCTAAAATACAGTACATGCAAGAAAGGGCAAGATTCTTTCTATAGCCACTGTAGCCTGTAAATATATACCGGTATTGCTGGTTTTGAGCTGTTCAGAAAATGAAAAGGACCTGCTATTCGGAGCAGTCAAGGTGCTAAATGACTACAGGTCATTTTTACAGTGTAGTTTACAGCAGCGACAGAAAATGAAAAGTTGTGAAATTAAACCAAACCTACACCAAAACTTACTGAATATTTGCCAACTTTTTATTTAGATAATGTGTACCTGTATTAGGTTAGTAATGGACATAGAACGATAGGGAATGAAGCTACTAGTCCTAATCCTAATGCATGATGTGCAGTCTTATATGAATTGTGCTTCTCAGTAATTGTGATCTCCTATAATTTTTTATAGAAAAGGAAATGAGTTTGTGTACATGTGCTGGTCTGCCTAAGCCATCTCTTTCATGATGATGAATTATTCAACCAGTTACTCTTAAGATGCAATACACTGGTTTACTAACATATTCAAATTTATGGATGCATCTTTCCTGGGGACCTAGTGATGAGTTATTCAATTAACCTGTTATTAATGAATGAACTACAATACTCGGGATCCAGTCTGTATGTATTACTTGTTGCTATGTCGGGCAACTCTTGCCAAGCTTTCATGCTGTCAAGAACAACCTTTGTTTAAAAAGTATTCTTGAAATTGGAATATGTTGGTAAACTGGTCTATTCATTAACCAGAACCCAATGTTGTGGCAAAGAATTGTCAGATATCAAACCGCCTCAAAAGGAAATGTTAGAAAAATGTCAAACTTGATACTACTTTATCTGTGATTAGACTGAAATGATTAGATTAAATACTTTTAGAAGACAGTACCGATTTCTGTAGTAAATGTAGTACATATACAGTCTACCTCTCTCTGTATGTCAATACTAATTGTAGCTGAACATGAATGACTTTTTATAGAAATCAGCATGTATTTAGATGTAAGTATAAAAATTCTTCATCATCACAAAAATGAAGATGATACTAGCATACATGTAGTTGCGTAACTTGTAATTATGAATTTGATATCATTTCAACGTCCATGAAACATATGCAAAGATATGGTGCCATTGCAAGTTGAATTTGTATTTGTCTTATGAATTGAACAAACACATTAAAATCTCTGTTTGTACATTTTTGTTTGATAGGGGTGTTGCTCTATTTAAATTAGGTCATGTCTAGGCCCATTAAGGCTCATTCACATTGTGTAAACTTTTGTGTTAAACAAAATAAAAAATAACATGAGCATAATGTGCTTTACATTTCTGTATCTTACAACACAACGATGAAGTACGTACGCATGTTAGGATCTTTGTTGCGCACAACTGCTTTCGTCATCCCCACTTGCCATTCATGTACATGTTAAAAAAGAAAAAAAATTTGCTGTGGTTTTGCTTGTCACGTGTGAACGGGTCATTTGAGAGTAAATTGATATTTTATGGGGTTCATTTTTAATGGTTATCAAAGTCTGTTATAGCTTTATCTATAGATGTGTGGTCAAAGCGGTTCCTTTAAGTTTAGATCAGCATTACTCGCTGCAGACGTGATATTTACTTTGAGAATCCTTAAGTATTGTATCTTGGAAAATAGTACCCTTTTCGACTGCATTCATCATGATTGGGATATTCAAGTTTATCTTATTAATGGGATGTCCTAATTGGCCTGATGTCAAACTGGTGAACTTTCTACAGTTATTACTTTGTGACTGTATTTGCCCAAAGTTGTTAAGTAGAAAGGGCTAGTCACAAATGACTCTTAGAAAAATAAGATAACGATAAAATCTCTTGGCGGTTCAACATTTTCTGCAACGGGCTATGTTATTAAAATCATTATTGTGTATGTTCAGAACCTGAAGGGGTGTTAACTCTGTAATATAGTAATGAGTTAATGCCTTTCTGGCGCCAGACTGACTATCTATTTTTTGTGACCCTTCCTTTCATAGATAAGAAATCTATTGTTCCACTTCTACTCCTTCTGTTATCTAAGGGGGGTAAATTAAATGTTCATGCTATTCTTCACTCAATGAAGAAGATGTAATAATTTTCAGAAATGTATTTAGCCCTGTAGAGCAGATGGTAGTCGAAGTTGAACAAGTTGAATTTTCCCTAAGTGAAAGCCATTTTTTAAAACCAAACTATGCAAAACATGTGATATTTACACTTCCTGAGACAAATAGTCTAATTGATATTTGCAGTCCCAGCAGATTAGACTTCTGCAGAGTGAACTTTATTTCTAGAAAAATGCTAACCTAGGGGGAGAGTTGGGGTTGATTTGCAAGTATTTAAAAAAAACATTTGTTTATACTTTGTTCTATCCCTGCCAAAAGCAATACCAGTAATGCATTTAAGAAATAAAATAGTGTTTAGTTTTCAGTCCTATAACCTGTTCCCTTTATGAAATAGATGCTTTTATATGTTCCTGTTGGATGAATAGGCCTCTCATTTTCTTTGGTGGACATCTACATGTATATATTCATATATAATATTTATTTCACGAATTGCTAAAAAATATACAGTAATTATGGATGAAAGTTCATACTTGCACTGAAATCATTAAACTTTTGGACACCCTTGAGTAGTAGTTTGATTAAAAGATAATAATATGTTCACTAATGTACATACAACTATATATTTATGTGAATGTGTAAATAGATTAAAGATAGCATTTATTGAACAATGTGTGGCTTATGTGGACACGCAGCTATTAATAAAATACTTTGATAGAAAAATAAAATGTTTTTTGTGTGTTCCTTTTGTTTTTCCTCCTCTTGACTTGTGGACAAGAATAAAGCCAAACATCAAAAAGTGCTGTAGAAATAAATAGTAGTTCATGTATTTGTAGATTATGTACAAGTGGGACCAGATTTACAACATGCTTCTTCAAAGATTGATTATTTCATCGGCATGAAATGGAAAGATGGCATATAAAAAGACAGGCCTTTGTAAGGTAAATAAATGTAAAATGCAAATAACACAATAAGATTTCTTTCAGTCCGTATAAAGACTTTATTTATTGAGTGTTCATCAAATATGATAAAAAAGATAATAAACTGGTATGACTTGTATATCACATACAATATAGGTGCATATCCTATTAAACCTTCTGAAGGTCAATTACGATCTTTTTTTTCAAAAACCAAATGATATTTAAGTTGTTACAGATGCACCTACTTGGCAAACCAATAGAGTGGTGAAGGTTAGGAGCCAGAGCATATAACACTGAGTTCCTATAGGAAATCTTTTCATTCAGATGGTCATATCTCAGCCAATACCTAATATATTCAATTGGTTTTCGACATTTGGACATTATTTTTGATGCTTTTTCGGAAAATGAAGAAAAAATTGAGAAATTCTAAAAATAGATTTGTATGACGTCACAGCTTTGGTACTCTATGATGTTTCCATTCGTGTTGATCATAAATATTTAAACACGTGACAGAAGGTGAATTAGAATTATCAACCTCGTTTATAATCACAAATAATACTACTTATATTCAAACCATTCAACTTTGAACCTATTAATTATCTGTGTACATTTTAGTTCAATTTAAGGAGGAGCCGTTTTTGTGAAGTACATTTAATTTCATTTTTAGTTTTTAACGTCAATGTATTGCATCTTGATTTTCATTTGATTTATCCGGCATGCCTACGATGCATTTTTCGGACTTTTCGAGATAGAAGATTTAAAATTTCAATTTGATAGTAATTTCATAAAAGTTTAGAGGTTATTCAAATTGTCCCTAAAATCCTTGTGCAATATGTACTAACTTAATATGTACATAAGTATCGCTAGAGTTGCACAGTATAAAAGTTTGAAGCACACAGACTATGAAAAAATACACAAAAAGATGTATTGACGTAACAATATTATCAAATAAGTAGAAAATAAATGTCCATATTGAACTATTGCACACATATCAGTATATTAAGCTGATCAGAAACAAACAGCTAACAAGTTTATTTTCTAGGTTGTACATTAAGAATCATTAGAGGATGCATAATATAAGTGAATAATACAATTTGATCACTTTTCCGTAGTATGGTATGTAAAAATGGTCTTTAATCAAAGATTCAATAATCCTGTTCCTTAGAAGTCCTTTTCTTGATTTATTTAAAGTTCATCTCCGACCAAAATAAATCAATTTGTTTCTTACAATCAGATAGATGAAGAGTCGCAAAACTACAAACAATTGAGTAAATTTACAAAACTTATTTATTACGTAACAACTTTGGCATGGCATTACCTAATCATAATTTAAATATAAGTAATTTCATAAATGGTGGTTTCCTTCGTCTGTAAGGAATACACGTGAATAAACCCAACGGTGTTTGTTTTGTTAAGATACGACCGTGCAAGCAAGTCCATGTCTTGCTCAAAGAATTTAAACAGTTTGCAATAACATCTGATTGTTATAATGATATGTCTGTTTCTCAAATCATATTTGGCCTCTCAACCTTTCCTTGGACTTTAAGCCCATAAATTGTATGGCCACAATGTACTTTATTTCCACCCACCTGGAAATAACGAGTATAAAGAAAACGATTGAAGAACACTAGTGAAAAATGGCGATAAAAACGATCTATTTTCTATTGTGGTAAGTCACATTAAACAAAATTAAATATCTTCCAGAAATCCAAAAGTTCATCAATCAAAGAGGCGCGATTGCTCAGCAATAGAGCATTTGTCTTGTAAACGGGAGGTCACGGGTTCGAAACTAAGTCGATGCGCTAGTGGCTTTTTGTAAGGCATTGATACTCATCACCAATTCTTTCGAATATGACTTAAAGCCGTCTGTCCCCTGGTTGCTTACTTACTATAGAATACACATCCTTTGTCAGCATTGTTGTAAAACAAACAAACAAACAAACATCATGCATAATAAGAGTCTGTCAGAAATGACTTATATTCCTATAGAAAATGACAGATTGTTGAAAGAACCATGGTTAAGTGTCTAATGTCTATTCGATTTGTCACAAATGACTGAATTGTATGCCAAGTTATGTTACCAAGGTTTTCAAATGGATAACTCGTCATATTTTATCAATTCTATCAATTCTGTCAACCGTTCTGATCTGCACTTTGCAAGCAACAGCACAATGGTAGAGCGTGTTTTTCTTTTCTTCTTCTTCTTCAGAGGATGTTCCCCACAAAATAAAATGCTTCTGGTGAATGATTTTGCATCATTCGCTTTCAACTCAAATCCCAGCAAGTTTTGCCTCACTGTATTTACTTCTCTGAAACCTGAAACATCGAAATTGTTTCGATTTGCCACAATCGAATGATATCTTCATCTAAATTTGAACAGCTTCTTTTTTCTTCGTCATCAAACAAACTCATCAGCTAACATACACAGTAAAATGGCAAATTCCTGGAGCGAGTTTCAAGTTCCTAGTCCTACAGTGACATGCAATCTCCCAGCTTTTAGAGCTTCCCCAAGCTTGATATCTCCTGTCCCGCTGGCTCGAAACACCTTCATCTTTAGCCGTCCGCTTTTGAGTTGCCCAGCAACCGGTGGAGACGGTTCGCTAACCGTTTCAGTTGATTTGAGTCTCCTCTTCTCGCTCTCTCTGCAGAGCATAGCTGTGAATCTTTGCTTCTCCGTTGTCGACGTCTCGTCGGCAATGCTTTTTCCGTTCGGCAACGTTCGACGCGTCCGATTCTCTCGCGATCTGTCCACATCTCCCCTCGCCTTTTGCAAAAAGAGCAACATTGTTCGCGTCGCTTCTCCTTGGTCCACCGGCAGCGCCATCCAGTCCGCCTTCGACTTCGCCGTTGACGACGTGATCGTCGATAACGTGGTCGTTTTGATTGAAAGATTATCCGGGCTGCGCATTGACGATGATGATGATTTGCGAGACAGGATGGATTGCTCTTCGTTGAAGTCAAGACGATCACGCATTGCCAGACGACTTTGCGCCAGCGCCATTTCAAGTTTATCACCGGCGGCCGCCTTTTCTTCTGCCTTGTTTTGGCGCGATGCGAGAGATCGTATGCTATTGGATGTCGAGTTATCGGGGCGGCGTTTCTGAGGCAGCGGTATAGGTTTGAAGACGTCTTGCCCCACATGTCGCATTCCAGCGCACACGGCGTCGACGTTGGTCGCGAAGATAGGCTGCGTGGTCAGACCAGGAAGGTGTTTGACATCAGATGGACGCCATTGGTGACGTTCATTGTTGGTTGGGCTTAGATTAGGACACACTTGGCTATGCGAGACATAAGATATAAATAGAAGGTTGTAGTAATAAATTCAGTTACATCTTGCCGACGTTTGTAAGTATCACATTAATTTTACTAGAAAATTACATGTATATGATGATAACAAAATATAGGTTGTAAGCCTCCCTAAAATATATGACGTTTTTATTGATTTTCCTCGCAATATTTAACATAGACCATCTCTACTCTGTCCCTTATCCTTTTCCCTCAAGTTTTCTCAACGCTTAATCTTTCATTTCCCGATTTCACTTTAAACGGGAGACCAGAGAATTGGAAGTGCTAAGGTTTTTTTAATAGCATTTTGAAAAACAAATTGATACAGTAAATAAGAACTGACGAGAAAGTGCCACCTATAATATACAGAGAGAGTGAGATAGGGAGAGCAGGAGACAGAAAGAGAAAGATAGAGAGGGAGGGAGAGAGACAGAGAGAGAGAGAGAGAAAAAAAAAAAGAGTGGATTGAAAAGAGAGAAAGGTCGGGGAGAGGAAATTAAATGTTGGTCCAATTATTCATGTCGAGTACACAATGTTATCATGAAGTTCGTGATGATGCCAGTCAATGGTACTTACCCCTTTTGTCCGTTTGACACCTGCTTTCGTTCAGCCAACATTGCACTCTGCATGACCTCGAAAGCTCGCCTGGTGATTAACCGAAAGATAGTAGGAAAATTAATCATAATTATCAGGATTATTATGTGAATGCATTCATATTTATAATGGAACATGGTAACGAACACGGTGTCGAAAACCTGAACAAATATCAATAGTTTAGTTTCCGCGTTATAATTTTAAATTCATCACGACATGAATATAGATACAAATTACTCATAATACTAAACACCATTTTTTTCCTTTCTATTCCTTTGATTAAGTGACAAAACCCCCAAAATATAAAAATGCATGTTTGAAAAGGGATAAAGTGGGTGAACCTATATTCGGATAGCCTCTCTAGTCGCGTGTACATGCAGTAAGGTTTCATGTATGGTTTAGGCTCAGCATAATTATGCGCACCTGTAACATTAATTTTAGAATATTCACTTACATCATACATGGCTGATGAAGGAAATCCAGCAACGAACATTACGACGCGAGTAGTGGGAGGAAGCAGAGGAATAGAAATGATGGGAGCTTGTTGGAAGGATAACATAAGAGATACGAGGGAGCTAAATCTGACCGCGGCACTAACAGGGAATAGAGGAGAGTGGAGATGGAGGATTCGAGAAACCAACCCCTGCTAAGGAATAATGGTTCATGGAGTAACAGAGGTAGTAGTAGAAGAAGTAGTAGAAGTAGTAGTAATAGTAGCAGTAGTAGTAGTAGTAGTAGTAGTAGTAGTAGTAGAAGTAGTAGTAGTAGTAGTAGTGGAAGTAGTAGTAGTAGTAGTGGTGGTGGTGGTGGTAGTAGTAGTAGTAGTAGTAGTAGTAGTAGTAGTAGTAGTAGTAGTAGTAGTAGTAGTAGTAGTAGTAGTAATAGTAGTAGTAGTAGTAGTAGTAGTAGTTGTATAATTAGTAATTTTGAGTGGGGTAGTATTAGATTTGATGGGTGAATACATAGTACACAAATTAATATGTAATATGAGTTTACACTGATAGTAGCATACTTAAGGGTACCAATTCATTAAAGGGGGGGGGGGGATTTCAACTCTATTCTTTCCGGGTTTGATATAATTGTATTTCTAAATGTGTTGAAGTTGTATGGGCGACAGTATCATATAAAAACATTCAAATCGGAGCAACAGCAATAATAACTTTATTCAGTTTGGTCTAGCTTACATCTTTATTTGTCTTTTATGATGAATTAAAATGCCTTTTTCATCTATGAATAGGACTCTCCGTTTATAACTGAACTAGAGCTCCTCAATCTATAAAGGTGTCACTGCACCAAATATATACGGCATGATCGGTAAAAATCATAGTCGTTTTTGTTCACGCGACGTACAAATCAGTAAGGACTTTGACAGTGCAGCTAACTATTTTCAATGAGGATGACGTCCTTCTAAATATGGATCATACCGTCTCTAATATCGATCAGTCGATCAAGCACTTAATGTGAGGGGGAGGGTATTAAGTCCAAGGAGTTAGAGAAGATGGAAGGGAGGGAGAGGGGTTTTGGGGTAGATTGTGTGTCTTAATAATTTTAATTTTGTATTATAACATGTTGAGAAATAGGAAACTCACATTTTTCAAAAGTATTCAGTTTTATTCAGGAAAAAAGCAATGCTTCTTCTAATTTTATGGAAGAAATAACTGTGTAGTGCGGTAATATTTTCCTATAATGTAATTGTGCTTTACTACTTTAGTCATATACATTGTGATATTATGAACAATGAATTTTGTTGTATTCATGCTCGTGTATCAAATGATTAAAAAAAAGCTTTGATATAATTATGTTTCAGCTTGTATAAACTAGGACGTTGAACAATGCTTTGCTTCTTTGTTATGTACGAAAAAGAAACGGATTTTCGAGAAAAAATTAAATTCAATGAATGAAATAAAAATTAAAAAAAGTGCTATAACGGGCCGAAAAACGAACTGACAGCCAAGAACGCTGATGTATTTTGATAAAATAATATGTCATAGTGTATTGTCACCCGCAAGTATAAATAGTATTCATTCATTTCTACAGGCAGACAATCGTACAGAGATATGATAACGCATAGTCAATGATGCCTGTTATCAATCAATATAGGCTACTCGTTCAGTCAAGTTTCGGAAATTCCGGCAGGTGATTTCAGCCTATTCCTCCGGATACATCAACAACCCATTATTCCCGACAACAGTAATCTTTTGTAGTCGTCTGCTCGATACGGGGTTCAGACGGGTGCGATGACGCTAAATATAAATGCTGGTAGTTCAGGGCAAAGCCAACATTCAACACGTAATTATTAGACATGTTGTATAGCGTTGCCATGGTGACTGTCGTCTGAATGCTATTGCAGAACGAGGCCGAAAATTACTGTTTCGTGTTGTTTCATCGAGAGCGTGCACTATTAAAGTGTCGAATTCAATCTATGCGAAAGCTACATGTAGATACGATATCCGTACAAAGCTTCGATCTCCGCAGTGAATGGAGCAAACAGATTTCATTGCATTTATGCGAATTGATTTATGTTTGAATGTATGATACGAGCCCCATAGAATTCTTTCTTCCCCTAAGAGAATTCTTGAAATAACCTTTGTAGAGAAGATTCTGTGCAGTGTCGATCTTCCATAGATAGGTCCCCCTTCACCTCCTCTCTCGTTCTCTATCTCTCTCTTTCCCTCCACCCCTTCTCCCCCCTCCCTCTTTCTCTCTCTCTCTCTCTCTCTCTCTCTCTCTCTCTCTCTCTCTCTCTCTCTCAACCCCCTCTCTCCTCTTCTCCCCCTCTCTCTTTCTCTCCATCGCCCTCTCTCTATAGTGTCGGTTCGATATAGGCCTATACAGCTCTTTCTGCAATGTATTCATGATCATGTATTAAAAACTATATATGAAACTCATTATCATTATGATAAATATACGCGTTCTGCTCTTTACCCAATGCATACAACGACGAGTAATACCTCTAAGACTTCTCTGATAGATACTTTTTGACAAATGCGTACTTCTCTATCATAATCTGTCCGTGTAAGAGCTGGGTTCCATTACAGAGACTCGAATCGTAAACTTGCAACCATTCTTTCTCTCACAACCCAGTGTTATATGTACAGACGAAAGTGTGTTGGCAATTAGAAAGGATGCGTCGACCGGTCTGATCAAACAGAAGCTTGACATTTCGCTTTTCTTATTTCTGATTCTCTATTAATAGTGTCCTGTTCAAATACAATGCAAGCCAATACCAAATCGCGATCGATTTCATTGTTTGTTCTCGTGCAAATAATAGCTCCCCGTATGTCATGTATGTTAATGTGGTCACTGAATGGGCGCATTTAAAACACTTTACATCAAGATAGCACATATACGATATAAATCTTCTTTCCAGGGTGCCTAAGACCACAAAATTCACTCGCCTTTCATTTCGTGTTTGCTATAATAATAGTGGTAGGCCTATTTGATAAGTGGACAGGTACAATCTATTTTTTTCACATGCGTTACCAAACATTATATTCAATTATATATGACTGTTTCAGGCTGATAACCCTACCTGTCAGAGCTTGAAACTGACAAAACATCAAATAAAGGGATATTTAAATGTAAATTAATGTCACATTTCCTCAAGAAAAATCTTGGTATGGTTCATACTTTGGACTTTACCTTTATCTTGTCATGACATTGTATTTCCAAGGTAGATATTCGGTTAACAGACGGTCACTATTGCTATGTCGGGTAACACTTTGGTTCATAACTATACTAGACACTCACTTATGTAGTTTGTATGAGGTCTGCTACATAGCATCAATAACAATGCAACACATTTTATGCTAATTCGTGAAGTAGTCTTATGTTGAATTTCTGACTTTTCATAAATGCAATAAGAGGAACGTAACTTATAATATTTACATACCATAACCTTTTTCAAACATGTAGACACCCCCCCCCCCAAAAAAAAAAAGAAGAAGAAAGGAGACAATTTCAACATGCATCGTAACAATTCACTTTAACACCAACACCTATACACCCACACGCTCAATTCATTCACTATCACTCTACACTCTACAGAGTAGTTCCCACGACTGTATACGCAACTATAGAATGGGGGCTAATCTTTCATTTGAAAGAGTGTCTTGATATATTGAATGGGTTCCATCACTGCTTTACAATCTGATGGGACTAGAAGCCCATCAAGTGCAGAACACAACTTGGTTTGACAAGGCAAAAGAGATTATTTCTTTTCAGAAATGTGCTGAGCGACGAAAATAAAGTGCATGTTAAAAGAATTACACTTTAAGCTTAAATGTCAATATGGAAAATGGTAATTTCTATAATGTTCGCGCAGAAGACAACCAATTTCGCTTTTGCCATTCAATATATAAGAAATTTAAGCTATGTCATCCGCGCCTACACAAAATATAAACACAAGCTATGTCTATGAAACAATGCCCCTCCGCTTCTCTGGAACAAATCCTGATTAAAATTGGAGGTACTCACAGTGATTAAGAGTTAGTAATTACACTACTGTCAACGAATATATTATGCAAATGAAAGTTTAAAAGACAAAAAGCATTTGAATAACTTAATCTGTGGATATTAGCACTAAATTAAGATATAACTGACACCAATAAACTGCAATATTTAATTTCTGAGCTCAGATTCGTGTTAAGGTCAGTTATTGGGTGCATGCATGATTTTGATGACTCTTCAATACGATTCATCATAATGTTTATAAAAGTGTATTCGTGCTGAAATCTCAAAGTATAAATAACACAACTCATTTGCCCATACTTGTTTCAAAAGTAAAGTTGAAAGTCTAAGGTTTCGATACAACCTCTTTGGGAGCCGTCAATTATATAGTTCCGCTGTCATCTTGGCAAACACAAGATCTATTGTCAACTGATTTGCTGTATAATTGTCACCCTTCCCAAAATAATCCCCATCCTCGACATGCTGGAAAGGAATTACATTCTTAGAAACCCTTTCCCCGCAATCTCGTCAGTCTCCACAGCTTAAGGTTGATATAAAGTACACTTTACCTTATACCTCTGTTACACCAAGGGGTTGGTTACACCACCAAACCGATCTCAAACCGAGCGATTCTTGGCTATTGGCCGTAATGTAAATTCTTGTTCGTTGTGTTGTTGATCGGTTGTCGGTGTGACTGAGGTATAAGTTTGGAGCTTTTCGAGGAGTTTGGTGTTACAGAAACGAAAAGGGTGTTCTATTTATATGGGTTCGGTTGGCTTCTGAAAGTGCTTCATCGTTTAATAACATGTTGTGGGAGAATTATTGTGATTTGACTGCTAAAGTGTAATATCCTGAAACTGACAAAGCGAGGGGGATCTTCCAGAAAGAGGGGGGGGGGGGGGGGGGTGAAATATTCCATGGTTGCTGCCCGCGTCTTTGCAAGTTTGGTTGATTTATAATTCTGAGCCTACAAACGGGGGGGGGGGGGGGGGGGGGGTATACCAGGTCCATCCTATACTGGTTACGTCACTGATGTATCTCAAAATGATTAACATCCCCGCTTACGAGACAGTATTTAAAAACAATCCAAGCAAACTTCACCTTGGGAATAAAATGCTGTCCCTGTCAATATTAATTTTCGCCTTTCAAATTTATATGTCCGAATATGATAACGATTAAAAAATATTGAAACAACGACGCATTCGAGCTGCAATTAGAAATTAGCCTACCTCTCCTTTAGTTTTGCAAGGAGATGTATTTGAATTATAGGTAAAGTTTCCAGGGTAACACACCACGTACTTCTTTCGTGGTGTAACCCATCTAACTACATGGTGCATTAGACCCTGAAGACTTTACTTATAATACAGTTTCATTCTCACCATGAATTTTTATTTTTCTGATACTTAACTCATGAAACGTATTTGATTGTACTTACTTAAATGGTGCCGTTTTGAAGATGTAGGGATCGGGAAGGTTTTCTCCGAACGTAAGATCTTCCAGGTCACTGCTTCCATCAAACCCAACCAGTCTCTGAGTATGCCTTGCCCGATATTCCGCCATGTATCGGCTTGTATCATCATAGAAACGAAATGTCTGATAGTCCTTCTGAGTCTGCCTGTTGCTATGGTGACAATAGAAGAGATAATAATGAGAATTCGTTCATTATTGTAATGATTGTATACGAACAACAACTAATGTTGCATTACGAACTTGCATCAGATATCTTTGATATACTCAGAGTACTCTGACCCCCCCCCCCCCAAAAAAAAAAACCCTACTTTTTCAAATTTCCATAATTGGCTTAATACTTTGGCAATTTTTTTAAAACTGTGTTAGCACTTAGGCTACTATTCATATTTTCAAGTAGAAAATTGATGCGGTTGAAGAGAAATTAAATTCTGCTCCCTTTATACATGTATTCTAAGTTGTTTATATTACTTAGAAATTAATTTAAGAGAAAAATACTCCACTTTTCGAGGACGAATGTTGTTGATATCACTTTGGGTCGATTTGGTTGTGACTACATTGTACATAATCCGAACATAGGACTACGACAACAAAGGACAATACAACTGAAGGCCTATAGGTGATTTCTTGAAAGTCCTTGCGATCGTGTTGAAACCAAATCACCATTCATGCACGAGACAAAATAACGTTTTACCCACCTCTCTGAAGTGTATTCTCCTTGAAGATTTGGAGCATTACGATCTGACTTCCTCCTGGTCGTCGTTCCCCTGATCGCCGTCCGACCATTCTGCTTCTTCGAGGCACCGTGGTCGTCTTGAGGGGACCACTCGTTGAACCCCTCGTCGAATAGACTAGCGATTGACGGAAACCTGGTTATAATGCAAGAAATCAGGAGTATTTTAGAGTGGTGTTTCTTATGATTTATCTCTCAAGAAAGTTGTTATTCTTGTTCCTTGTTATTTCATAGTTAAGCCGTTACCATGAACTAAATTTAAATGTTCATTATAATTTATGTTAAAACAGTCGAGCTAGAATAATTGGATATATTGTTGGAAACATGTATAATGGTAATTGTACAGAGCTTCTTTTGGATCGTTGAACGAAACATGTGAAGATGAAAATGGTTTAAACTACGCCAAATCAGGATCCTTTTTCTCTCAAGTTCTATTTGCGGTTTTAGCATTGCTTTATGATAATATAATTTTACTTGTGGGATCAAATTTTTCTCACAAACCTCACAGTTGTTAAAGCATGTTTCAATGGCTCATATAATAGATATACAAAGAAGATATAATATACCTTATACACGAGTCGCGTGTAAATAATATGCAAATCGATAAACAAACTGAATTCAAGTTAGGCTCATTAAAAATGAAACAAAAGATGCATGTCACTTGACCTTATTGATCGGACACCTGTATTGGCAGTGTTTAAGTATTGACTGGAGTGTATACCAGTTCACCTGAAACAAAAGGTGTAGACTACAAGATGCCACTGTGAAAAGGCTGGTTTCCTTAATACACTTTATGGACATGCAAGTACAGGGTATTTGGGTCATTTGATGTCCCACACAGATACCAAAATGTGTTATTGAATTTATTCCACATTTTGTTGGTCTAATCTATGCCCCAAGACGCGCCATGAACAGTTATGATATACATTAAACCCAAATCGTACGCGGTCGGTAACGTAGATATAGGAGTAAGGAAGTACTCTCATGAGAATGCTGAAAGTGTACATGCATTATCTAGGGCTTCAAAATAATCTCCCTAATTTAGATGATTTTGTTTAATAATTGGAAAAATATTTTTATAATCTCAGTTAAATCGACTATATGGATATGGGTCTACACAAGATTTCACATTTCTATGCATTTTTACAAATAGGCCTTTAAACAATTTTCCATGTTCCCCACATAACAATATTGTGTCGACAATAGAATATGGAGTATAAATGTAGGAAAATAGAATGGCTTCTGCTTCAGCGTACTGCTTATATTGATATTTCAGTTTATTCGACACATTTGTATTTGATTATATCATTATTTTGATATTTTATGACTGTAGATCCATTTACGTAAAAGGAAACAAACGACATAGCTATGTACATCAGACATAGAACCTTGGCCAAGCCATGAACATGAAAATCAATTTGTTTTCATAAGCTGGCATACAGATGCAGGCTGTTAAATTTAACGACAACCACTTAATACTAACCTTGATCCTTTGAGTTTGCCACCTCCCGATCTCCCCCTCGGTGGTCTTTTCGTAGAAGAAGACGACGTCGGCGGTCGCTTCGAAGTCGTCGATGTAGGCTGTTGATGAGTTGGTAGATGATGCGGTTCACATATGCAGTGGTCGCTGAGCTGCTCCAGGGGATCGGGATCAAAGTAGGGAACGAAGGAGCAGCTCTTGAAGCATTGGTATACGTGCTTCCCGACTAGGGGCATGGTTACGAGCTTGATCAACGCGTCGACCTTGACAACGACGACGACACCGGTGATGATGACAATTGTGACATGGATACAACATTTGTGGTTACACCTACATTCATTGTTGGCTTAGAGTTGAGCCGATGTTCGCTTCAGAAAATCTTTGGCTCAAGTTCCGTCTCTCAAGACAACATATCAACAATAACTTCTGCTGATATTTTTTTTCTTCTTTTGAAAGTCGGCCTTATCTGGTCCTATTGGCATATTCCGGGAGCAAGTGGAGAATCAAGTGCAGAACCATGATGTCCAGAGAATAAACACGAAATTCAGGAGAAAACTTAATCGGTCGTATTTGCAAATAATGTTATCCTATACAGCACGAAATGCAAGTGTTTCGAGTCAAATGTATACTATAATATTTCATATAGCAACGACAAAGTTTTTGTAGACATGAAATAATTATAATAATGCATGTTTACAGTTTATGCTTCGCTTAGTTAGCCCCAGTAGCTAATATTACCTGTCCTTGATTGGTCACGTTAATTCGACAAAAACAAATCATCTCTGTGAACACCGTCTGCTAATTACTAATTCCTTTGCCGTCGATACGGTGAGTATGATTTGCATGTTCCTGGGTAGCCATCTCAAAGGGTGAATGTACACAGTTAGTATCCTCTAGCTTACCGCTTTAGGTCGGCAGTCGCTGTAAACAGAAAGCAACCCGCACGCACGAGTCGCTTCAACACACTGATAAAGCTACCTCGAAAATCGGGAGGCAAGCAGATGACCGATTAACATCTGAATTTGTGTAGTTGCAAACTGGCGCCACGCAAAGTTTGGCGTGCGCCGCTCAAGGTGTTGTTAGGTGCTCCGAAGAGGAGTCGTTCTAACGATTGATTCTTCATTAACGCTGTGATTTAAAGTCAAAAGCTGCATTATTTCCTCTGCTCAGAGTTTCAGACCTGCCCCTGCTCAGTAGTTTTAATCGAGGTGGAAGCTATAGGCTATTTCTAAATGAGTTGACTTGCGAATTACCTCATTCCATGTTTGACTTAGAAAAGGAACCAACATGTTTCCGTAGAGAATGGGCAATTTACCGATTATTGGTAAATGCAAGAATAGTAAATTCAGAGGTTGGCTGCAGCTAGCATTCATGAGAACATCAGCTCTTCCTTAAAGCCAAGTGATTAGAGCAGTGGTCTTGGGTAAATGAATCCTGGGTTCGAAACCAAGTGGATGCGCATACGATATAATCCTCATGTACCAAATCACTTCAAGTCGTAGGTCCCTTGGTTGCTTGCCGATAAAGGTATGGCTTGACTCCCTCGTCGAGATAAATTTGGTGAAATAAACATTAACACTTAAATAGATGACATGGAATCGATGGGTGCATCATCGGCGGGCTACTCCAACGCAAATAGAGACATTCCAACTGCAAGATTAATTCATCGTATAAACCAAAACAGCACTGATGCCCTTGAGTCTCAAATCAATAACAGTTGAATGCGATAATCAAAGATAATGCACCTGCCAGTCTTCCGAGAGCAATATATCAGTAATTGCCTCGCATTGTTTTGATCAATAGCTTTCAGCCACGGGATGAAAGATCAAACGTGCAATCATAAGAAAGTTGTGACTTCCATTTCAGCGGAATAAAATTTCAAATGATAATGGATAACATGGTGTGAAACTACGTCAGCAACCTTAAGACTCAAACACAATCATTCGCTTCGGTGAATTTTCATCAAAATGCAACCAATTCAGGAAAGTGCCAGCTTTTCTTAAGTAGCGATGATGTTGTTTTCGTTTTCAAAAGAAGCGTCAAGCAATGATGCTTTGTAACGCTTTATTGAGGCTTTATATAATGAATTGTCTTGAAGATTTGCCGATGGGTACTTCAAGCCGTGCACCATGCAGAATGCATCCAACCAGTACATAAAAATCAATAGTTGGGACAGGGTGGTGTATCGATTGGCCATCCAATGATCAACCTTGGCCAAACTTGAAAGGCCACAACATGAATAGGGAAACAACACGAACAGCCACGTTCATTGATCGCCTAAGAAGCAGTCGACATTCCGTGAATGGAACTTTTAATCCAAATTATCATTGCAGTTGATCACGTCTTGAATGCGGTACAGGCACATCATCATAGTTAAACCATCAATCAACCGGGGGGGGGGGGGGGGGGGGGGATGAGCTACTTTTATTATCAACACAATTTGTTCCAGATGTAAACAAATCATAAAAAACATCTACAAAATAATTAAAAATTTGAAAATAATCTTGTTTGACTGCATAAGGGACGGATAGAAAATATAATACTTTTTGCTCATATCATAACTTTTCAACTTCATTAAAGGGTCCACCTTGATATTTTGTTGGTTTCAATGAAAGCAGGAAAACATTAGATGAACAAATTATTGAGAGAAACAAGTTAGTGAAAGTTTGCAATATCCGATTAAAAAGAAAGAATTATGCATTCTTGAAGTTGCCATCAGTGAAACACAAATTGGCAAAATGGCGACGTATCTTTCTATTTTTTCTCATATCTCTCTCCAGCTATCTCTCTCTCTCTCTCTCTCTCTCCCTCTCTCTCTCTCTATCATCTCTCTCTCTCTCTCTCTCTCTCTCTCTCTTTCTCTCTCATCCATCTCTTTCATCTCCCTCTCTCTTTCTCATTCATCTCTGTCAAGGTTGTATGTCAGGTATTCATTTTATTTCTATATCTTGGACCCTATTTCATAAAACTTGTTATCAATAACAAGATATGATCATTGTTATAAGCTACTGAAACCCTTACATAATGATTGGCTATGAACAGATTTGCCCTAGATCTGTGACAGGAGTGGCGTTGAGCCCTCTTCATGTTAGATTTGTTCTCCCTCTCCAAGTAGGCGTACTCCAACACCCAATAGTGACTGTCTCTAAAGTCTCCCATGAAGTATTTGTCCAGTATAATAGATTGTGTAAGGTAGTCAAAGCACTTCAAAACTTCAAGTGTCTATTTTCACCCTCAAAGGACATGGCTAGGCGTTTATTACATTATATCGCTGGATAGAAAACCTTATTCTCGATTATGCATTCAGATATGATAATGGGCACATCGGGTGCTTAACATTACAGTCATGCTTTTTTTGACTTCTCAAATCAATTAGTTTAGTGTAGTCACTAGTCGATCTTCTAAGTGTTCTAATGCTCTCCTCCATCGTTTCCATGGTCGTGTCTGTTTTAAACAATTTGATTTTCTTTCCGTTACGGTATATTGATATGATTTTGACTTTATTTTCACTTACTTACTGAATTGAAATTGGAGTTTTAATCCTATAATAAATGTTGTCTTTGTTAATTGCTGTCTTGTTGCTTGTATTAACCTATTAGTCCTAAATAAAACTATTGGTCCTTATATTATGCTTACTACATAGTACTACGTAAATTATAACGTAAGGGTCAAAATGAGGGCGAGGGTTGGGTTTAGTGTCAGGTTTATGCTTGGTTTTTGAGTGAGGCAAACTTGTTGGAAAAACTTATTTAGAGTAACATTAATTTCTTCTAGGTTATTTACAAAATACCACATCTGCGGTTGAAAAATGTCATCAAAAGTAACTATCACAAATTCACAATGTTATTGCATTATATTTTGCGATTACAATTAATTTACTTGCAATAAACGGCCGTGTAAATGAATTTGCTTAATTTCAAGGTCATTGCAAGAATAATCTCAATTGGTGCTAATTATAATTGCGCACTTAGCCTCTCTCATCATGCTCCGAATTCCTACGTACTTCCTATTTTTTTGTTTATATATATACGCTGTTCATCAGTCCTGCGGTCCACACCGACTCGCCCCAATTCGTTTGTATAATGTTGTCCATGTAGTTCATAATTCTACCCTTCTGCTTCCACACTGCGTTTTATAATTATGTTGATACCTGATCTCTTCAGTAGTCTCCGCATACACAATTGTTTCGTTTTTTTAATAAATTTATTCTTGTGTTAATTTGTTATAACATTATTTGTTGAGGGGTCCACATTCTATAAGCCATGTTTTTTACTGGATCCCTCTATTTTCATTTGACATATAAATATACAGCAACATTTCTATTTTTCTTCTTGATATAAATTGTTATGATATGATTATCTTATAATTCCTTGTAACTTAATTAAGAATAATATAAATAATGTGTTTTGTTATGCAAAGAAAAATAACATGTACATATGTATAATAACTTTTGTAAAATGTTGTTTGTAATTTATTTATTGTATATAATTTGTATTTTTCTTCTTGAAAATGCAAATAAAAACTTGAACATGAAAATTATTCCAACTTTATGGGCGACAGTGTTTTATGTTGGTCTCAAACAGTCCAAAAAAATTATTAAAAAAATAAAGTTAATCCGTCAAAAGGATTTTGAAATCATAATCATAATTATAACTTGAAAAACGATGACCGTTATAGGCCTTCATTACGAAACTTATTTTTAAAAAGGCAAATTTATAACTCGAATAAATATCCCGATGATATACTCCAAGAAACAGCCTTTGCAAGTCAAACAGGTTGACGAACTCAGAGGGCGCTGTGTACTTCTTGGCCACGACAGGGATTGCTCCTGAAGAGAGTCCAAAGACTGTCAGTAAAGACTGATTCCTTTATAAGAGTAATAAGCAGTGGCGTAGCTACGGGGGCAAGGGGCACACCCCCCCCCCCCCCCAAAAAAAAATAATAATAAATAAAAAATAAATAAAGGGTGAGAGTGTGGGGAAAGATGAAGGAAAAGGAAGAAGAAAAACGTGATATCATGTAAGGAGATAGTTTGCTCGAAAATACTCTTCAAAGATCACACTATTATGTGAACATAATAGTAAAAGAATCACGATTTGATTTCATATTAAATATTAAACCTGTAAATAGAAAGTGGCTTTTAGTGTTTATTGTCCGTAAATATCCTTTTACAGTGGCTATACTTTTGCGTTCTCTTTACCATATCAAGGTCCTTTTAACAAGGTAAAACAAAAGACACCCGATTATTGTTCTTTAAGTAATTAATGTTAAATAGGATCAATATCATAACCATACAGATAAAAAGAGTATCTCATCATATGCGGTAAATAAAGTATTTGTATTTGCAGGGTTATTTGCCAAAACTGCTTACTAGCGTATACGTTTCCTTGATCCTCTATTTATAATCTTATTGATTATTGTATTATGAAAATGAATATTCTCACTGAAGTCATAAAAGACATCTCCGTGACAAATTCGGGGTCCTTGGTTGAGTGAATTCTATTTTTTTTTTAAATTCCGTGTATAGAAACAATATTAGTTTCAAGCTCTTAAAATTAATAGCTAAACAAATAATGATAGTGATGATAATGATAGTAATTGTAATAGTGATAGAAATAGTAGCAGAAATAGTGATAGAAATAGTAATGTAAATAGTATTTCGATTTCCAATCAAAAATATCTTGATAATCAGACAGGCGATCGGCTTGTAAAAGTCATGGGGTTCCTGACTGACCTAAAGGTTTATAATTATCACTGCAGCATGAGCTGTTTCAGAATCTGAAACAAAGTTACTCAATCCCTTGAAGCAAACAGTTCTGCCGATAGCTCGTTTTCGTTTGCCTGTAGATGTTATAGCTGGGCAAATAGCTTTGGGTATTGTGTTGATAGCTGACACGGTTGTACGGTGATAACAGGTAGATTTGTTAGCTGTAAATACTCACATCTCCCTGGTAATACCTATATTTTGGTCAACTTGTCGAAAAAACACTTTGGGGTGATCAGATCTGCGTCCTTGATGCAGTGTACAGCAGAGAAGAAAAAGAAATGAAGATAGGAGTGAAATATAGAAGACATATTGGAAAAAGACGTAGAGAGTATCTATTTGTGTCTTTTTCATTTTAAAATGCAACTTTTTCCCACTCTAAAGGGGCAAGGAGTAATAATAACGTTGATTTCATGAAAACCGAATATTAGAAACCGCGAGAATATGTAATTTCAAGAGGGTTTTTTTTTGTCCGATCTCCTTCACAGTTTCAAAAGTATGCTTCTCTGAATTTTCTGCTTTTTATTAGATTAGTTTACTATTAAAATAAGCGACTCCCTGGACATGTTTCGGCCAGAGTAGGAAA